CATTAAAACCATCTGGTTGTGACATATAGAGTCCTCTTGGAGTTTTCCATTGAGGAAAGCAGTGGCAACATCAAATTGAGTTAAGTGAAGTCGTTCCTGGGCAGCGACACTTAGCAGACTTCTTATTGTTGCCATTCTGGCCACAGGACTAAATTTTTCTACGTAGTCTACACCTTGCCTCTGTTTGAAGCCTTTAACGACTAATCGCGCTTTATACTTTTCAATGCTGCCATCCGGATTGTATTTTATTCTATAGATCCATTTGCATGGCAATGGTTTTCTTCCAGGAGGCAAGTCAGTTAATGTCCACACCTTGTTTTCACGGAGGGAAATCAATTCGCTCTCCACAGCCTACATCCACGATCCGCTGTCTTCACGCTTCAAAGCCTCTTTATATGTGCCGGGAAAATCGCAGTTAAAACAATCGACATGCGTGACGTAATCGCCGAGTTTGACTGGAGGTCGAAGCTGCGATCGGTCCCTCAGGTTATAGCGAAATTCAGTTCTCTCTTCAGCGTCATTAAACTGTTCTTCATCTTCAATGTGCTCTGAGTTTTGTTGAAGCGGGGATGGCGACTCTTGTAGTGGAGGCGACTCTTATACTGGAGGCGACTCTTGTAGTGAAGATGAATCTTGTAGTGGAGGCGACTGCGGAGCCGTAGCATCTCGCAATTCCTCTTCCGCAAGAAGGGGAACATCTGGTGCACTTGTGTCCAATTGCAGGGGCGATCGTGGGGTTAAGACCTCTCGTGATTCCTCTCCCTCCAACTCGGACGATTCTGTGCTTTGTGGGTCTTGAAGTAAACGCAAATCAAATTCTGTCAGTGGCTGCGGGTTGTCTATGGTTGCTTTAAATTCCACTTCAGATAGGAATGTAATATCTCTCGATTTTATGGTTGTTTTTCCACCTAGCCAGATTCGATAACCATCATCTTGTTCATATCCGATTAGATGCCCTTTGACAGCTTTTTTGGTCATTTTTTTACGTTTAACTTTCGGCATGTGTGCATAGCATACGCTTCCAATTCTTCTCAAATGTGAGATCTTTGGTTTCTTATCATGCCACAATTAGTATGGAGATTTGCCAAATGTTCTAGTTGGAGCGGTGCGATTTAATACGTAGGACGCTGTGTTAACTAGCTCAGCCCAGAGTGCTTGTGGTAGCTCTTCTCGAGCGTGGAGCATTGACCTAGCTGCTTCTACTAGTTTTCTATCATCCGTTTTGTTGCGGTGTGTATGGCATTGTAAGCCGTTGCACGATGCCATGTTTTATCAAAATCTTTTTGACTGCCGCATTGTCAAATTCTCCACCGTTATCGCTAAGGATGGTTTGTATTTTATGACCCACGGTTCTAGTTTCACTTAGCATCTGGATAAGTTTGTCTTTGACTTCGGATTTGTGCTTCATGAAATAGCTACAGGAGCTACTGTAGTCATCTTTAAAGAGGACGTAGTACTTAGCGAAAGTTTGAAAAACTTGGCTTGAAGGGTACATCTGCGTGTATGAGCTCTTCCGGTCGTGATGCTCGTTCCCTTGTACCGAATTTCAGTCTATGTGCCTTGCCGTAGACGCAACCTTCACAAAACGTCTTGTGGGCAGGTTGATCAACGCCTAGTTCACGCTTGACGAGATTCCGATCGTGTCTTACATCTTGGTATGCGAAGCGCTCGTGATATATCTGTAGAAGGTTTTCACCCGTGAGAGCATTTACCTCTAGAGTCCTTTTCGGCATCATCACTTTGAGATCAAGCTTGTAGAGTCCTCCTCTTGGTGATCTTCGGCCTCGCAACAGTGTAACATTATCCAGAGTCAGCGTGCACTGAGTTTGTTTAGATGTGAAGAGACTATTGGGTAGATTATCTTGTGCGGCCAGCATGGAAAATAGATTCCGGGTTAGTGCTGGTACGAACCAAACATCAGCAAGTTCCATGCTATAGTTTTTTTGTCAGACTGAACTACCACGGTGCCCTTTCCAACAGCAGGGATGAGTGTTCCGTCAGCTGTGGTGACAGTGTGGCGACTGTCGAACTCTTCGAATTTTTCAAAAATATCGCGCCTTATGGCTATATGACTGGTGGCCCCGTTGTCGACGTACCAATTGTCGACATCCTTAGCACTTCCCGAGTTGCATGCCATTAGAGTAATGTTGGTGACTTTCTGTTTCTAAGCAGCCTACGGTTGATAGTATGATTCACAGATTCAATGCACTCATGGTGTCTCTTATGGATAAGTATGCTCCGATTGTATCTAAAAGAGTGAAACCCAATCAAAATTTGCCCTGGATAACCGATATGATTAAGTTTATGATTAGCTTGCGGGATAAGGCCCATGATACATACCGTAAGTCTAAGTTGGATGTAGATAAACAGTATTACATAGAAATATTGAAAAACTTGGTAATAAAAAGTATTAACAATGAAAAAAGCCTTCTTCAATCATTTGATAAATTCTAATATAAAAAATAGCAAGCGTTTCTGGAAGAATCTAAAGGGGTATATTTAAGTCGATCCTATTAAGAGTGACGGTCTTCCTGATTGCTTTGGTGATGCTGATACAAATATTAGCCACTTTTTGAAAATTCCTGGAAATGAAAAAAAAAGTTCCCTTTCCCAAATTCCTTTTTTTTGAATTTCATAGATTTAATGAGGCGACTCCTTTGTTCAAATTAAATAGTGTTTCTGAAGAAGAAGTTTCAAAGTACATCTTATCCATAAAATCAAATGCAATGGGATGCGATGGAATTAGTAGAGACATGGTATTGCTCACGCTTCCAAGAACCTTGTCTATTATTACTAATATTATAAATAAATCAATTCTGTCAGGCGTTTTTCCTTCGCAGTAGAAGATGGCATTGGTAACACCGTTGCCTAAAGTCGAACCACCAGGTGAACTGAAAGATCTTAGGCCAATAAGTATTTTGCCATTTCTTTCAAAAATTCTAGAAAAGGCAGTTTATAATCAGCTTACGCGCTTTGTTGAAACTTATAATATATTACCATCCTATCAGTCAGGTTTTCGAAGGGGCCGTGGCACTGTGACGTCGCTCCTTGATGTGACCGACAACATACTTGCCGACATGGATGAGGGTCGGGCTACTATATTCGCTTCGCTTCTTGATTTTTGATTGCTTGATTTTTCTCGCGCGTTTGAGAGTATAAATATACCGTTACTCTTATCTACATTGGCATTTTACGGTTTTGATCCTCATGCATTGCGGTTCTTTGACAGTTATCTCAGTGACCGGTATCAGTCAGTAAAATTGTGTAAGGAAAATGGATCGGTACTAACATCTCAACCCAGGTTGATTGATCGTGGTGTTCCTCAAGGTTCCATACTGGGGCCTCTTTTATTTATTATTTACAGTGCGGATCTCCTCTTGGCGATTGAAATTGCAAGTATCACTGTTATGCTGACGATGTTCAGCTGTACACATCAACAACCCCCGAAAAAATAAACGATGCCTTGCGTAAAGTGAATGAAGATTTGGATGCCATAGCTGATGCATAGTTCCGGCCGCATATGGAGTACTGCTCTGCCCGAATACCAGCTCCTTCCTCTTGACCGGGTACGAAGACAGACGGCCTGACTTATCTATGATCCTGAGCCACAGGACATAAAATCCTGCGCTCACTGACGCGTTGCGACCCCTATGCTTGCGCGGAGACGTAACGTCTTTGTGCGCAATATTCCATTTATACAACAGAGAGTGTTCTGTGGAATTGTTCAATCTGGTGCCAGCGAACAACTGATCCTTCACCGCACCTCGAGCAGCAGAGAGAAGTTTCACCCCCACAATCTGGACACTTGGCGTTCTAGCTCCATGCGTGATGCCTCCTCAACACATCGACAAATGCATCTGCAAATTCCATCTTCTAGCCAACATTGCAAAAGAGAAAGCCGATCTCTTGGGCATGCTCTTTGCATTGAATTCGACTCTCGATGACGGGCGAAATATATACTATTGCAAAGTGCAAGAACACCTTGACTGATCCGGTTTACTCAAAGCGCCGTTCGGTAAGCTCTTCTTTCCCTCGATATCCGGAAGTCTAGTGGGCCGGCTCGTGGTGATCACTCTGCTCATGCATCTGTTGACGTCTGCGGACGCATCTGTCGACGTGTAGAGGAGGCATTACGCGCGTTGCTTTTTCTTGCGTACCAGCAAGATCTGGAATGAACTTTCCCCAGCAGTTTTCCCTTTTAGCTATCAAATCAAATCAATATATCTTTATTCAAATTGGATGCAAAGTATAACTCATTTTAAATAGTCAAAAAAATGTTTTTTTTTATATACTACTCGCTATTAAACATTTTTGTTAGCTGAGGAGAAAAACGTGCGAAATACATAAAACACAACAATTAAAGAATAATGTAACAACATTTTTCTTCTAGTAAAACTTTTCTTTAGATTTAAACATCAGCAGTTAAATGCTTAAAATAACATAATTTTACAACATTTCTAAATTATTATGTTGAAGGCCAAAGGCCCCGACCACGCGTGATGCGAACCTGGTACCCCTAAATAAGTAATCATATTGAATAATGCTTCAAGCACGAATTCAACGATGCATTTATGCATGATAATCTTTTAACTGACAAAACGCTTAGCGAAAAACAGTGACACACAGTGCGAACAGTCAACGATTAACTATTAATATAATTTGAATTTCTTTTGTTTAACATAATGTCTTTATTTATTTATTTACTCTTTATTGTTTTTCAACAAATGGCGGACTTAATGCCACATAGCATTCTCTACCAGTCAACCACCGGGCTAAGCAGAGACATTATCTATTAGGTAATTATTGTACTTTTCTTGAGCAAGAAAATACCACTTCCTCGTCGACGGTTGGACAACTGCCACTATAAAGTTACAAACACAGAACAAATTTTAGTAAAACAACGTCAATAAATTATGTATATTTTTTTTAATTTACACTGGCAGCTATGAAGAAAGTAATCACTGACAAGTAAGGCTGGCAGCAAAGAATCGTCAAATAAGCGTCAAAAGAAAAATAAGCTACATTGACATTCTGTGAAATGCAAGCATGCAAGGACAGAAAAACATTATTTTAATTTGATGAAAATATTTTCTTAATTTTAACTGCAAGGACTGTTTCTACGATTGATAGGAGATTACATTAAACTATTCAATATGGCCCAATCTGGAGCGACATCAGGCACCGCGTCCGAATACGCTGATAGCGAAATGCCAATCTCAGTATTAGGAGAGGGTTAGTAGATGAAGTTTTTATGTACTTAGATGTGATTTAGGTGCCGTGCCTACTTTGTTTCTTAACATTGTAGCCCTTGCAGCGTCTTCAGAGCATAATATTCATGTAGGAATTATTTATTTTTATTAAATAGATTTTTTTGATTTTGTCTTTGTAACTAGGTCTTTTTAGGGTTCACAAATGTGTATTAAAGTAAAACCTGTTTCACATGGTTATGTTGTTGGTTAACAACGTTAAAATATATGTCGTAGGCACTAGTGGTAGGATGATTTGTTGAATCGAATTTTCGCGAAAGTCCTGGGATTTTGCTGAAATGGCTGACATTTTTCAATCTTACTGAAAAAGGATAGGATTTTACGAAAACGCGAGTGGCATCGAGATTACGAAAAGAATCGTTGGATTATTATAAATCTTCTTGGATTTTTGCTTTTTACTAGGTCAGGTTAGTATTGTGACAGAAATAGGTCTCCCTCGTGGTCCTACTAATAGGACAATCAGTAGGACCACGAGAAAACGGCTATAAGATTAAAGAATGCCTTGGCCATTATCTAATTATCCGAGTTTTCGAAAAATCCTTAGACCAATCCCCAACTAACACACTCGTGAAAAATGCAGCTTTCCTTAAAGCTCCAATGTCTATAGTGGTGGCATAATGGAGTTAGGATTAGGCACGAGTTTGATAACAGCTATAATTACAGCTTATGGCCGCAACACACTCCTAAGGTTTTTTGTTACCTTATGGCACCAATAGCTGCACTGTAGTTATATTTTTATCTGCTTTGCCACTTTTAAATGCTTAAGGATTCGCATGACATTTTGGATTGCCTTTGACTGCATTGAAGTTCTAATTGCATATTTATTGACACTTTTAGTTGCGTTACGTTCCCGTATGGAACTACTCTGCCAAGTTGTTCTGCATAGGATAGGAAATTGTGACTAATTTACTTCTTATGATGCTCGGGATGCGTACTGTGCGGAAAAATTTGCTCCAGAGCTCGTAAATTACGCTACTATGGATTCTACAGTGCTTAATGATAGGAAATAAATTCTATTAGTTTAACAATATTGACTCCACTCTCATACATACGCTTTGTTATTTTTTGACATCCATTATAATAATTCGCGTATATTTCCTAAACCACAAAAAGTCATGGAAGTAAAGAAAAGTGGTAGTTATAGGTAGTGTAGATATGTGTTTGTATTGATAAGATGGCGCCATGTACGACTTGACCAAGTCTTATTTTCTTGAATGATATTAACAAACAAAAAAAAGTTATTTAAGTTACAATCTGTGTAGGTAGGTTTAGGTATTTGCATTGTTATTTTTTTTCGAGAATAGTTAATGAAAGGTTTATTATCATAATTATACCTTTTTTATTCAAGCAAAGGTTTCTAGCATTTTTTTGCTGATCCCTAAATTATAATTATGGAATGTGCTGCAATGCAGAGTGAATTTTATATTATACCAAATTAACAGTGTAGGTTCTAATTTTCTCTCTATTGGACGTGGTATAGAGGTTAAAGTTCCACCGAAAATAATTTTGGAACTTGGAGCTTCGAAACAGTGATTTTTATGACCTATTTCTGCAAAATGGGGCTAGAATAGCGAAAACTAGATACCTGGGCTGCAAAAATATTGATGACATTTTCTGAGAAAATTACTTACTGATTGTTTATATATATTTCTGGTTATTTCAACATAATGCACAGTTTAGTATGATCAGAATCATCATGTAATCGGTAGTCACCCTAATTAAACATAATTAAGCGCTACATTTATTCAAAATTAAGACAACAATTTTGGGCCTGCAGCTACAAATTTATTACATTTTCATAAAATCTTCAATAAATCAAGGGCCCAATCATTTAACTCCAAAAACACCATACATGTTTCACAGCACATTAAATTTGCCGATGTTTTTCACCTACACAAGCCGCCAAGGGATTTAAAATAAAATTACACTATAAATAACTCCGCCACTTTTTAAAACCTTCCTAATAGTAAGTAATAATAAATCATTTTAATCACCAATAGCTGCTAACAGCAATATCTTTAATTCGATAACGAATAGAAATGAGAAATCAATATCAGCTTTCAACTGCTATTTTCACTTCTTGCTTAAGGAGTGAAAATATCAACTGTACTGGATCTATGAAATAGGTGCTATAAGTGCCCGCCTAAGAACTATAGCAGCTGCTGAAGAGCTGCTTTGCACGCTATGCAGCTAACCCTTGCAGCTTCTAACTGTAATTATATACGCTATAGCACTCTTATGCAACTCTTTTGTGTTAGTTATTAGTCTTTCATTCTGCGACATAATACTTTATTGTATGTATACACATTCAATATGAATAAAACTAGTTTTTACGGGTTAATGCACGAAACTCCAACACGACTTCCAATGAAATAACCGAACGCTCAATATAAATCTTTCGAAGGTAGCTCGACAATTTTAAATAAAAAATCATTATTCTGAGGATGCAGACCTGAAAAGGCTGCGAAACGTCAATAAATAAATAAAGTTTCGTGCATTAACCCGTAAAAACTAGTTTTATTTAATGAGTGATGTGCGTGAAAACCTAAGAAACAAATACATTTAATATGATAATTATAAATGGAATTTGTACGAAATATTTACCTACTTCTCTGAAAATATCTCGTAGCTGTGATAATTTTGGATTATTCCACTAATCCCCATTAGACTTGCCTCATCAAGAGGAATTGTGAACTTTTTTTTTCAAATTGATGGATAAGTGGAAGAAAGATGCGCAGATGCCCATCAATTGCAATTGAAAAACGATTTTTTTAATACCCATGAAACATTATTTTAATAATTAGATATATAGAAATTCGGTTGATTGTTGACAGATTTATTTTCACACACAAAAATCCTATGATTTAAAAATGAACACGTTAGACAATTTCAAATTATAAGACTTTACTATAATAAAACATTTATTTGATTATGCAGTGGAATAACCCATAATTATGACGTACCAACGGACAAACATAGCGAAACTATAAGAATTTCGTTTTTGCCTGGGAACCTTAGAAAGTGTAATTTACACCACAATCTTATTTTCTGTTGCACCATATAGCATCTCCAAATCCAGCAGCGGCAGGCACTTTTCCACCATACCCTCCCTACAAAGTGGAACCCGCACCTCCCTCAGTCGCCGACACTATTATTGCGGGGCGCGACATGCGTATCCAGCACAAGTCCGTACCAAGACAACCTGTCCGCCCGGCCCCCAAGCCTGCAAGACCTCGGTACGTAGAGCGCGATGCAAACCCAATGGCCGCTGTGAAGTTAGCGCAAGTCGCAGTGCAGAGGCCCGAACACGAATTTTTGACAGCTCCGTAATCGTATCACCATCGTCAAATTTTGTATAACAAACAGACAAACTGGCTGTTTGTTATCGCAATAAAGGTACTCAAGAAACTGGGAAAAAGAAAGATATATTATCTGCACAGGTATGTACGTGTTCCTTCAATATGACGATGATGATACATAGGGTTAACGACCACAGAAATGAGATTTCCTTGGTGACGACCAAACCACAGTTGACTTGTTGTCCATTAATAATATAATAATAATAATCATTTATTTCAGATAATTATAGAATTATAATCCATAGTTATTAGTACAAGTTAGTAACAATGTCGGGCTTATCCTATGTTAGTAGTATTAGTATATTAATTAATCAATCATTACCAAATTATCCATATTAATTATATTCACAATTATAATCTATTTTACATGTCAATTAAATTAAGTTAACAATTAATAGATATAGGTACGACAATATTCATGGGTGTAAAGTATGTAGGTGCACCCAGCGCTTCAACATTGGACTGTCCCAGCGTGCCGCCAATGTTCCCAGGATGCCGTTGGAGCTGGCGCGCAGTCGCCAGTAATGAACATTTAATTAACCTACTCGGATAATCAGGGGTCAGCGCTAGTGCATTCTTTGTTTTTTTAGGGTTCCGTACCTCAAAAGGAAAAAACAGAACCCTTATAGGATCACTTTGTTGTCCGTCCGTCCGTCCATCCGTCTGTCAGAACCGTTTTTCTCAGGAACGCGTGGAGGTATCAAACTGAAATTTATATGTAATACTCAGATCTACTGTCCCTTGGAGCTGTGAAAAAATCAAACTTCTAAGCCAAAGCAATTAAAAGATACAGCCGTTTATGCCACAAATTTCCGACACTCGCACGGGCATCAAAACCTACAGGGTATATCCCATGAACTTAAAATCTGAAATTTGGTACGAAGTAACGTCTTATAGTACAGATAAAGGAATAATTGCGAAAACAGTAAATTTTTAGTTACATCATAAAATAAAAATTATTTTTGTAAATTCAGGTTTGTACGGAACCCTCGGTGCGCACTTAGCCAGTTTTTTTTTTCATTTCCAAAACCAGCATACAGCATGGGAAACAATGCTGAAGCTAGGTAGTCTGGCTCTGGGACCGACAGGAAAAATGGGAAGAAGGAAATAAGATTACTTTTCCAAAGTGACTTGCGTAGGAATCTCTTTATTTCTGCTTTTAAGATTTTTCAAACTTAAACTTAACACAAAACTTCTCCCCCATCAACTAACTGGTGACATTCGTTTTTTTTTAATCCTTTCGTGAGTTGAACACTGGAGAATTTTTGAATGAAAAAAGGCAGACTATAGCTACTTTTCCGCTTGTATTGACGCGCCTGTTTATGAAAGTGACCTTATAAACAACTACAGTGAAATAACACTTGTTTTTGATGGTGTTCGATTTCTGTCGATTAGTAAAGTTCTCAGATTCCACATGGTAGGAAATGCTGGCCAGGGTATGCAAAACCGTTGTGATACTCTGGTATTCAAGATTATTTTCTGATCTTTTCTATTTCGTATTTATAATATAAGCAAGCATCATTAACAGTAGGCACTCGCGCGCATTGCATGTTCAGACGCTTTTCCGTTATTTGAGAAGCATTTACAATGACAAACTAACTCATCGAGGAAGTTTAACATTTTAGACAGCGCTATTGGATTTGACTAAAGTCTCCCACTTGGAGAAATCTACATCAAAAGATTCGTCAATACAAATCGTACACTCCGTTAATGCTTACTTTTGTAGAAAGTACGAAGTGGTAGGACACAGCGGAAGTTCTGCTCGAATTGGAGCGCTGCGGAAGTAACCTCCACCTTACAGGAGACACAGTAAAAAAACCCTACCTTTTGGTGGTTTTGTGTTTCTGCTGATGATTAAAACCCCAGGGTCCGCGGTATTGGGTTCAAGCCGGTAAGGTGAAGATTCCTGGAGCGGCATACCTTCTTCCGCATCATATATCAACGTGACTGGACTCTACTTACGCATAACATCAGGTGGAGTGGGGTAAAATGTTGCACCTCATATAAAAAAGGATATATAAATATAATAATCCATTAAAAAATAATTTCAGAGGACCAAAAGCGACTGACGTGAAACTGACCAGACGCGCCATGAGAGCGCACGCCCGCTGCCTCCGACGGCACGGAGCGATCCTCACGGACCGGCTGGAACGTATATCGAAGCCTCGCCGACGAAACATCATTAATCTGTGGAGGGAACACGCGTACACTTTGCCTCCTGAAACGGTTCATATCATTATAATTATTAGAGGAATTGCTACCATATACCTTGTTTTTTTATTTTGTGAGTCCCCGATATTTCGGCACAGTCGCAAGATAATCACGGAACTGAACACAACACCACAATTACATTGCCGAAATGTCGGGGACTCACGAAAAAAAAAGGTAACAAGTACATGACTGGAGATTAAGGTTGACTCATAGACAGGGAGAATGAACTGAGCGTAACTCGCTTGACAAGACAACTCCCTAGAAAGAGAGCAAGCGATGGTACAGCTAATACCTATACAAAAGTATTGGTCACATGATAGTTTCATCTGTCTCACACTTATCTGCCCAGTTATACACAGTCTCTAGTCTCTCAGTCTAAAGGTATACTATTATAGGTATTATGTGATATGGATTTACCTTGAAAGCCTAACCTAGTGTCCTGAAAATATCCTATAGCTTAGGTAGTTCTCCGACCGCCTGCGAGGAAGCGACTATCGGCTGTTTTCTAGTTAAAAAACGTACAATATAAACATGCCATATAAAGAAAAAACCATGCATGGTGGAGCGAGTTCTCGCCAGGAGTGTGAACAGTCAGTAATCAACTATTAATATATACATATTTTTTGTTTATACGAATGTATATCTATTGTGCGTTTTTGAGCGAGAAAATAGCCGATTGCAAGTCGCTTCCTCGCCGGCGATCGGACAACTGCCTTAGCAAATTGATATAGCAGATGCAAATATTGCGTTGCCCTAGTATTTTTTAACAAACAAAATAATATTAATAAACTTTTTATTCGTGTTACACTTACATAATTGTACAAAACATAAAAATAACATTAAAAGAAAACATTACAGACAAAATGCTATTCTGTCACAACCGTTCCAAAAATCTATATCGTGTCATCCTATAAAGACAACACAAAAAAAGGTATTTTGTTACTTAACAGAATGAAACATAACAGAAGCCTTAAGCAAGCCATACACGCTAGGGACTGTCAGGTTTACCTGTACAGTTCAACTGCACAGGTAAACTTGAGTTGAGAGACCATACACGTACATGTCCGGACTTTTAGATTAAAGACCGATCTTTGTCCGGATCATTAAACTGTCCGGATTTTTGAATTTTTTTTGAATATGAATAATAAAAGTACATATTGATTTAAATACCATACTATTGTAACTAAGTGAGTAAGTGTACCATATTAGGGACTAAAAGGTCCGGACTTTTTTCGAAATGTTTTGTCAGGACTTTTGAAATTCCTAAATGGTAACCTTAGACACAGTAGCGTTATTAGGTTTACTGCTTGTTTTATTGAAAAAAGAAAATTTAAACGAAGACACCATGAACAGTGCTGCAAAGCATGGTTACTACAAAGAAAACCGTACTCGTGTTAATTTACTAAATAATTTAAATTTAAGCCAACAGATTGGATGGATTAAAATACGTATCTTTAACTGTAAACAGCAGTGACTCCCTTAATTGAAAAGCTCTCTCTGATTTATAGATTTCTAATAACCTCTCTAGGACCTAGTTCCGTTTACGAGACGACATTTTGTTCTTATACAGTAGAGCGCCGCGCGTCCGACCATCCCATCTAATAATCACCGGACAACTGACGTCTACGCAGGCGATCGCCACACACGCTCAGTTTTACCTGCACAGTTAAACTGCACAGGTATAAAATATCAAATATTTTTCGAGTTACCTGTGCAGGCGTGGAAACTTGCGCAGTTATGTGACATACACGCTAGGGTTACCTGTACAGGTAAACCCTAGCGTGTATGGCTTGGTTAACAGTGCTTAGCTTAGGTGGCTTTTTTGGCTAGGCTTTAGGTGGCTTTTTGGGCTAGGCTAATAGCCTCCCCCCTCCAGTACACATTCCATGGACTGTGGTTCGCGTAATGTGTGCTGGTGGGTAGATTGAGGAGTGTTTATATATAGGGTTTTCTGGTTTTTACTGGGTAGGGCCCTGCTCATTTCATTGAGCCTTGGGGCTGGAAGAAATGAGCGGGGAGGAGTCTTCAGATACACTGTTCGCGCTATTCCTGGTGGTTCAGGGAGGCGTATCGCCTTTTCTAGATATCAAAAAAGGATATTGTACACGTGCTTAAAAAAATATTTTGCAGAAATTAAACAGTTTCGGTGAACTTGACATGTGACTGTCTGTACATCTAACGATCTTTTTCTAGATATATCGTCTGCGTTCCATGCTAGATGCAGATGAGCCTTTTAAACCTGATCAAGCTTACGAATATTTTGTTAATTTGCGCAAAACAAAGAAGAAAAATGCAGCGAAGTAAGTGTTCCAGATATTATATTTCTATAGAAAACTAAATATTATTGTATCTCAGTAGTTATAAAGGTAATAAGGACATATGGATTTCTTTTCAAAACTATCAGTTATTCAATCTGAAAATGAATAAGAAAGGAATTCTATGACCGTGTCAAACGTTTTTGTTTTTCTCAGTATTCAACTTTAGCTTCAATGCACCTTTTCATACAAACATGCAGTTTTTAAGGAGTATGACTTAAAGCAAAGCTTAGAAGTCATGCTTGTCAGTTTCGATGATGCGGCGGATAAGTTACTGAAATTGACACGGTCGTTTTTGAATTCTGCTAATTGATATAAGTTGAAAGTTTCGAAACAGAATGTTCGTTTGTTTCCTACTCAATCACGCAAAAACGGCCAAACGGATTTCGGTGAAATTTGGAACATATCTTGTTTATTATCTGGATTTAAACAGGAATCTTATATCCCGGAAAAAATATTGGGTTCCAATATGATTCCGTTAAAGCCAATCAACGAAATAAACAATTTAAATGATTTGTTTTCACAGATGGCAGGTGAAACAAATAAAGAAAGACTTGTTGGCAATGTGTAGCGACAAGAGATTCATCTGGGCGCGTAACGCCACTGTCGCCCTTGCCAGAGGAATACAGATGCGTTTAACTCGACCAGGGCACTATGCTTTGGCTGACAGGTAGGATTTTATAGATTTCATAATGATCAGTATTAGTCTTGAAGTAAAAGTAAAAGTAAAGTTAAAAAATAAAATTATAAATAGTTAATGTGTTTATTTTAAGAAAAGAAAATTTTTAGAGTAAGTGGTATCCTGTGTCGATAAAGTTTTATCAAAATATTGAAATTATGCTTGTAAATCTAAATAATTAATTATCTTTAGTAATTTCTGTAGATTTAAAAATCTAGCCATTTTATGTATGCTTAAAACCAAAAATATAGAGTGAAATTGAATGTTTCAATGAAACTTCGTCAGATTGTTGGGTTACGTGTATAGAGTATGCCTGATTTTTTTCAGATTTAAAAAAATATTTTTTTCGTTTCTTATTTTTTTATTTGGTTATTTTTTGTCATTTCTTCCTTATGAGTAATTATTCATTTTAAACACGTCTACATAGAAGTTGTAAAACAACTTAAAATAAGCACTCCTAAAAAAACCGAAACTTAATGAATGCCTCCAGTCGAGATCAGCGCCGGCCAGAAGCAATGACCGGCGGCCGCCTGTGTAGGTACCTGCTACACACACAGATGACTTGGCACTTTCCGCTTTGATTCCACACTATTTAAAAACATTACAATAAAATAGTCTTAGTTGCTATATTATAATTAATTATTCACTGATACACAATACCTTTGAATATTATTTCATAAAGCACAGGTAATTAATCAATAGAGAATAGAATGTTAGAGCAATTAAAAATCCTATAAAGTTAATATGACTGTCACGATTTTAAATCGGTAAAGCCTGTCTGTTAGTGTAAGAATTTCTTTTTTATTGATAATGTTAGTTGCCTCATTTAATTAAAACTTAGAACAAACGGCTTATTTAAAATTGGGAAAAATCATATAGAGCAAATCGGTATAACTTACGAGCTTAGTGAAGGAAGGAACTCTTCGTGTCTAATTTGCCCACGTCACGAAATTCCGAGCACATTTAATCACAGCCACAGTCACACACACACACACACACACATAATAATATGTTGTTTTGTGGCAAGCACGGGCGGGCGGCGCGCCGCACGCTGGCAAGAAACATGCAGCGCTAGCGCCGGTTGCGGCGTCTTTGATGATGTGAATTCCGCCCACCTCCCTCTATTCCCAGCGTGCGGTGCTTTGCTTTCGCGCAGTCGCAAGTATATCAATCGCGCGTGGGCGTGCGCATCTTTTGACTTAGTGACATACACTGTGATAATTTCAATATGTATGCCTCGGTATACGAACCAAGAATATTTAGAGATGGTGTACTGCTATCGCGAGTGTGACGAAGTAGGTTTGGTTTACGAATGAGTCCCCAAACCATAGAAGTTGCATTTTATGCAGTGAGTAGTGATAGGGACACTTTAAAAAGGGTGGAAAGACACGTCCGCTAACGTGCTACCTTTGTTTGCAGCAAAATGGAGGTTTAGAGCAACAATTTTGCAGATAATAATTTAAGTCTCTAGTGTAAATACTTTTTGATTTGAAACAACTAATTGGTGTACTACCAGTGTAATTGATTTGATAAAAAGTTCTAGTGAAAAAAATGAATATGTTCCTCGTTCCTCGTTGTACCTATTTACATCGCCGGTCTCGTAAGTACTGTCTTATACCTACCTAGTTATAAATTTCTTTCTGACCCATGTATTAAACTGCAATAAGTATTTGTTTTTGTAACAAAATTATTATTAACTTTTTAGGTATTTTTCTCTGCTAATGAGACACACTGAGACACTTGTTCTTTATTTAAATAAATCTGTTATTGTAATATGGCATCTAAGGCCCGTATGAATAGAACGCTCTCAACTCTGAGAGCGATCTTGAGATGCTGTTTTGTATGAACACAGTATCTCAAGGTCGTAGTCTCAGAATTGAGAGCGATCTATTCCGTATTAATTGCCCTTGACTATTTTACTGTACTGTACAGTAGATACGCGCCGCGTCAGCTGTGCGCGGTCGTTGCCCCCGGCCGCGGCGTCCGTCAGCTTGCCTGGCCGCATCCACTATTTAATTCGTTTATTTTAGTAGTGCTTATTTATTTGTTATATTTCACATACTACGAATATGTGTTTAAAAATAATTATTACTCAAAAAGAGGAAAGGACATAAAAATGCACAATTAAAAAAATAAATACGAAAAAAATAATTATAAAAAATCCGAAAAAAATCAGGCATACTCTATACACGTAACCCAACAATCTCACGAAGTTTCATTAAAACATTCAATTTCACCCTATACATATATATTAATCCTCAATTTTGCCTACAGAATGTTAAGATTATCGAATATTGTCTTGGACGATATGTGTTGCTACATGCATGTGAAGACTCCTTCCAGACGATGTTGTCATTCCAAAGCAAAATTTATGATGGAAATGGCTGACAAGGTTAGATGTTAACTAAATTCTCCTATCTTTAGTAATAGTACCCTACTTTCCTAAATATATTATGTAGTTTTTGGCATTTTTTGTATAAAAGGATGTTTTTTTAGATAACTGTTTGGATCGACGATGTTCTCACTGAATCTGAAGATCGCATGATAATGATGGACTTCGATGAAGACGATGGTAAGCAGATATTTTCCTGACCTTCTGAACACAAAACGCTAAAAGTAACAATTTGTCAATATTAGTATCCTCAATCAACAACGCAAATGTTAACAGTAAACAACCAGTAGCAGGTAAGTTTTAATTGAAATTGTGACGATTGTTCTTAAAATAAAATCAATCAATCTTATTTGTTTATAGCTTTTTTGCATTTCAATTATGTAAATATCTGAGAAAAATGGGTTTACTCACAATTGAACAATTGTCAACAAATTCAAACGAAATGTCCTAAAGTGGTACAGCCCAATTTTCTCGGACGGATGCTTTGGTGACGACAACTTGTAGGTAGGTACATGAGGTATATTTTTTCATTAAAGAAGTAGAAAAGTGCTTTGGTGAAGCGGATGAGGTGGAGCCGGACACGCGCGTATCGAGCACTCCTCGAGGGTCTACCACAGTGTCCACTCCGGATGAAACCCCCGGTACCACCCCGCGTCAGACGCCACCGACGACGCCTTCACAAACTCCGCGACAATCCAAAGCCGACATACCCAAACAATAGTAAGCAAATATCTTTATTATTGGAATGGAACTTAAAGTTAAATTTTCTTTAGTTTTATAAGTAAATAATATATATTTATTTAAAGCATTTTTTTAAAGCATGTAACTGCTTGATGTTTAAATCTAAAGAAAATATAACTAGAAAATATTCCACGCGGACCAAGCAGCAGACGGGACTCGAATCCGCACCCTTCGCAATCCGGGCGAATGCACTGACCAATTATGCTACCACAGCCCTCACGAACCGCATCGAAATTCTTCTAGCCATTCTTAAGCTGCTAGTACGTTAAACTTAGAGCATTTATACCTCTCTCTCTCCAGGTATAAATTAAGATGAGATGTTAAAGGATGTTTGACTGGACTCGGTGAACAAATGCTTTCTTGCTCTAATCATCAATCCAACACTTAATTTGAGCATTCCATTTACCGGAAAAACAAATGTTTGTCAGAACTGTTCTAATGCTTACGCAGCATTATATTGTACTACAGAATTTTATCCAATGTATTTCTGAATTTAACCATGGACCACTTAAACTTAATAAGAATCTTCTTACAGATGTGGTAATGGCTGAGCAAGCTGGCGACACTGGATTCGCGGACGACTTTCTCGACATGATGGGTGGCGTAAGTGTCAATCATTATTTTTAATATTTTCCAAAGTACTACACAGGTACCTTGCCATAGGCGGAGTCGGTAAATTTATAAATACTATCCGTTACATGCAGATGTGTTGTTAATTAAACCAAAATGTCATAGTAACGTCTATTTTCATGTATATTTAAATATATATAATACTGACCTAAACCTGACCCAGCAAATTTCGTACCGCCATAAAAATAGGGGCTGGTGGTAGAAGAGTGAAAATTTACAGTTGTATGTATTTTTTGATGCCACATTATAAAAAAAAATACCATAAAATAAAAATATAATATTAGGGGTGAACCCCTATCACTAAGGGGTATGAAAAATTGTAGGTAGAAGCCGATTCTCCGACCTACTGCTATAAAATTTCATAATAATCGGTCAAGCCGTTTCGGAGGAGTATGGTACCTAACTAACATAGTGACACGAGAATTTTATATATAAGACTTGCTGCAACAACATTCATTATATATAATCAATTTCAGCCATTCAGTGCATAGATATGTGCACAAGACAGGTATTCACTGCGGGTCTTTAATTTTTGTAAAAAAAACATGTAAAATATAAGGAAAGAAAGGACATCGTAAGCCTTTCAGTGGAACGCTTTCGTATGTAGAGTTAGTAAATTTGTATATATTACTAGCTGTCCCAGCGAACTTCGCCATAAAAAAATAGGGGTTGGTGGTAGAAGGGTTGTATGTATTTTTGTATGATGTATCATTCAGGGGGATGAAAAATAGATTTTTTCCGACATACTGAATATGCAAATAAAATTTCACGAAAATCAGTCGAGCCGTTTCGGAGTAGTTCAATTACGCACACCGTGATACTAAAATTTTATATATTAGATTTATAGAAACTCGTCCATTAGACTGCCTATTAAAACAAAAGACATCTCTCATTCTCTAATACTAATAAATAAACGTATCTCTAACCACTTACTAACATTTATTAGGGTTCCATATTGATCCAGTGCGTTATCAAGATTTATTATCGAGATGAAGCATATAATGTTTGTTTCTTTGAAACAGTCCTTGTGAGTGCAACTCCAAAACCAGAACCCACAGCCCCTACTTGAAGTGTTATACTCTAAAGCTTGTGTTTCGAAAAAATATGGGTTATTGATACTTAATAATTGTAAAAACAAAAAATATAGAAAAATTATGAAATCTTTTCTCGATGTTTTTTATTATCCACCCTCACCATATCCTTTCCCAGAAATGATACAAGTGAACACAACAAAACCAGGTAATTATTGTTTTCTTTAACATTAACATGATTTAGTGAAAATTACCTCTTTTATTTTAAAAAAATATACTAGAATCCAAACACCTATAGAAAGTGAGCCAGTCTTTCTTCATTTTCCACATCCACATTAAAAACAATAAGTATCTTAATAGTGATTGTTTTTTTTTTGCCTGATTCTTGTGTTCAGTTGTATCAGTTTTGGAGAATGAAGGATGATTTGCTTAGTTTTAATAACATCCAAGGGTTTTTGGTTTCATCCGCGTTTGACACAAAATGAAACCTTTCACTTAGTCGAAATAGTCGCCGTATCATCTTCGATTATTTTTCCATAGTGCATACTTACATAATTATAGTGAAATATTAATACGTATAATAATAGTAATTTAAATAATGACTAAATATGTTATTTTCAGCGAGGAGTCGCAAAGAAACGTAAGACAGTTCATTACCTTTTTATCGTAGACTTCCATAGAATTTTTGTTCCATTTTACGTTAACAATTAAATAGAGCCAAAAATATGTTCAATGAATTTCTGACATTTATCTCGCATATTTCAGCTACACCGGCTTACTTAAAGTTCTCAGGTATGTAAAATGATGATTTTTCATTATAAATTCAACCACAGTTTTATAATATTTGTTTCTGAGGTTTTCACGCACATCACTCATTAAATAAAACTAGTTTTTACGGGTTAATGCACGAAACTTTATTTATTTATTGACGTTTCGTAGCCTTTTTTGCCTAAAAATAAATCTGCAGTGTGTGAACATGCATTAGGGGGACCAAACCACTACATTAGATTTGATAGACCACAGATCCTTGCAGCTGAGCGGCGGTTCGTTCCTCGAATGATGCGCGAGGCTATTGAGATTAAAAAATATCCAAATATCAATAGGGAAGATGGTTGGTATATACCACCAGCTTGGGAACCTATTATACAGGAGATAAAATACCAACCCCGAGCACTAACCCGTAAAAACTAGTTTTATTCACAGTTTTATAAATCATATAACATAGATCACTTACCACTTATTACTCAAAAATGTGTGTGTTAAGGTAAGTACCTACTTACCTTAATTTTAAAACGTACACATACCTACACCACAAACCTATTTATCAATCTTTACATACTTGGAATCAAAACAATCTGTCTGTATCAATGTGCTCTTTACTACACAAAAGCTTAATCTATTCTGCTTTCAAAGTGTGACTGATTTAAAAGCATTTATTATTTAGCATTCATCAAATCAAGGGGCAGTTAAATTAGTAGTTTTGTAAAGATCATAGATTTATCACAGGCAATTTGTATGATTCAACGTTTTACAAACGGCGTCGTCCGTTTAAAAACTCTCGCTGATTTAAAATATGGCGAAAGCAAATTGTCGACTCGTTCAATTGTTAAAATTTCGACTGATTATTATAGTAAGGTGCCCAATGACCATCATAAAACACAGGTTGGACAAATCAGACCCTATTTACAGAAATCAGGTAGTTGTTACCTATTCAAATAGGACTAACTTAAAATACATGCTTAGTTGGGCACACTAAAGTAATTAAACTAGTTAAATAAAAAAAAACTAACAAATTGATCTTTACTTTGATTGATTTAGGTACTGAATTTTGCCCCGACCACCATGTCCACAGACCATTTGAATATCTTACAATATATCAAAATGTTTATAATAATCTTCTAATGGTATTTATTACACGGGCAGTGGGACTCTCAGAGCTGTCTTTTTTTAGAATAAGATAGTCCACATCACGGAGACTCAGCATATCATGCTTTTATACCAATAAATAATATTCCGTAGGAGTACTCCAAGCACCGACTTTCATGAACACCTTAGCATTGTTTACATGCCGGATAACCTCAAAAACTTTGTCATTTGTACATTTGTACACGGCTTTTTTACTGCACCTATTTGTGAATCGTAAAATAAAATTTCCTAATTTACTATGATAAATGTCTTTAAAACAATACTTTTTTTGTGAAAAGTCCTTTCAATGCGTAGAATTTGCACTGTTTTCAATATTTTTCTGTGTCATAAAACTAATGCTCGACGCCATTTCTCTTGTTTTGATTAATATGCCACACGTAAGAAAAAGAACTAAATACTTCAATTTGTCGCGGCATTTTGTAAACGTCGATTTGATTATATATAAAAATTAATGTTGTGGCATATTATACAGTGACAAGACAATTTACATTTTGCCTTCGGCATATTTTATAGCAGCAAGCGTTTTTAAACGGTCGACGCCGTTTATAAAATGCGGAATCATACAAATTGCCTGCAACAGATCTATGCCTAAGGACGATTGTTAACGAGACGATTTCTATCCGGGTCTAGACACAGTTTTAAACCGTTTCTTTGTCGTCGTCGTCACTAACGGCACCGGCACTAGCAACGGGCGCGGTTCGGACCGACCCCAAAGAAACCGTGCCTAGACCCAGCGGAAAACCGGTCATTAACAAGCGCCATAAGATCTCTTCTTTAGTATTTTTATACTACCTTATTACAGGTCCTATGCTGGAAGCTTTTCTTATTCTTACCGATTCAATGACTAATAGAGGAGATGAACAGCTTTTATCCCATGGAAAGTTTCAACAGACTTACAAAGATGGAGCTACAGAGTAAGGCAACTTAATAGATAAAATAGTGTTGATTCATTCGTATAGAATGAGGTAATAAGATAAGTAATTGCATAATTGTCCTGCCATGGGCCATTTAAGTATTAAGATAAGATAGAATATTTTTTTGTACTTATCAAGTAGATACCTAAATACGAAATATATTTTTCAAGGAAGAATCGAAAGCAGTTTGTGAAAGTCGTCTAACTCGTTGATGATCATATTATTCTCTTTTAATATATGCCACGTTAAATTATGATAACATAATATAAGTGTCCTAAATTCGCCAAAAAAATAATCAAAACTGATCCGCTCTTTGATTGTTTTGATTGCCCTTTTCAGACGCTAAAATCTCTCGAAAAAGCTTCGCTTTTGTCATAGGATTGACTAGTACACTTGACAAAGAAACAGTATTTTCTTTTTCATAGATTAAAGCAAACGCCTGATTTTGAAGCAACAGATTACGATAGCACATTAGCTAACCAACTGAACCAAGATCTAACTGCAACTAGTCAAGCAAACACTCCGCCTGAACTCAAACCTAGTATGAAGGGTAAGAATATCGTAACTCATTATAATTATATGATTAAGATAAGTATTCATTTTATATAAATATTAAATGAATATCTGTCTTCTCTTCGTATTAATTGAGTAAATGCCAATTGTTACCATTATACCGTTGTATGGTAATTCCATAACCATTGCGAATTTTAAACGACACTTATATTTATACCCCTTGTCTAGAAAGAGCTAATTTATAATGACTTTCTATCAAAGTCGGTAATATTCAAGTCTACAAGATTCCACTAATTTGATGCAGGTGTTTCCACAACACAAGATCCATTTAACGGTCTTTTCCACTATCACCTAGATGATATCATCTGGATCATCATAGCGACTCATTAGTGTCCTTTGATCACCCGCGAATATAATCCTGGGTGTTCATAGGCGACCAAATATTATTTTGGTATCCGCTAATCACCTTTAAATAAATATCACAAGTTACATTTTAATTTTAAACCGTAAACTGCGAAACAAGTTCTTACCCCTCGTTTACACCAAGGTATGTATTTAACAAATTTTATATAATCTCTTAATTTTTTGTTCACACATATACATGTAATAAAACATGTAGTTTACAATACCTGCATCAAACTTGTATGATAAGCAAAATATGTGAAGTAAATAAGTGATTTATACTTGTAAGATACTAGTTGCCTATGTAAACGAAAGAATGTTTTAAACAGCCACAACAAGTATTCTACAAGTTTTGTTTAGAACTAGTATATGTCTTGTTTCTTGGTGGAAACGAGAGGTTGTGGTGTTAAGCCCCAAGCAGGGGGGGGGGGGGGGGATTTTGGGATTTACTCGAGCGCGGCAAAATTTAGATGCAACAAAAAGTCATGGCCGTTTGTTGATTTTTTTGCTGCCCTCAACTCTCGACCCCGTATAGAGGGCTCGGGAATGGTGGGAGTACTTCATAAGGTCCAAGGTTGCCCCCCTTATGTCTTTCAGCTGCGCTCGAGTAAATCCCAAAATCCCCGCTTGAGTTCCCTCCTACTATAAGATCTTTTTTCGTATTTTTGGGTTAAAATGTTACTTATGTATATATTGATGCATTTTTATTTTTTTCAAAGTTGCGTTTTTGTGTATTTTTTGATGTTAAGTGAAGGTGAAGTCCAGAAAGTGATTTGAGGATACCAAATTTTTTTAAGGTTGCCTATGAACACCCATGTGATTATACACATATTCAGGTATACAGGTATTCAAATAACACTAAAGAGTTGCCTATGATGACCCAGGTGATCATGGTGTAATAGACCTCCTAAAAGTCTTCGTAGCGTATGTTACATTTAATGTTGAAGACCAATATTCGTCTTCTAAATTCAACGAATATGTTTCGTCTTAGGGACCGTCTGCAGATTTTCTAAGTTTTTTATTTAAAGAAAAACGCGTTCTAGATATTTATTCATTTTCAGAAATTATCGATATCTGCTCCAATTTCTTAGCACAAAACGCTGAATTTAACAGTGAGTATTAAATGTGATGAATTTATTTATTTTATTAATTTACTGAAACGGACGATTTATTAAAAACTTATTTCGTAGAGGACAAAGGTCCTGCTTTCAAACTGTTGGTAAAATCAATGAAAACAAAGGCGAAAGACCAGCTCTATGAAAAAGGAAAGGCACGTCGGACATTCGGAAAAGCGGCAATCGAGTAAGAAATTAATGATGATAGAAACAATTGATGAATATGAGGAAGTATTCTTATGAATATTGGCTAATGGATTTTTCATTGTTCTCCAGACTTGAAAGGGCAAAAGGTTTGGAGAGTGATCACGATGATCCGAACTTATCGCAGGAGATTCATTCAGCTTTATCAAAAACAGTACAATCTGTAACGCCCGATGAATTAAAGGCTGATATGACAGGTAATTGGATGAATCAATAAAAAGGAAAATTTTGAAACATTAATCAACATCTAATTATATCATTGATACTTACAGAAACATTGGACGTATGTTCGAAGTTTTTATCTCAGTGCGCTACAGATGAAAGTAAGTTAATAAAAAATTAAAACACTTTCTACATAAGAGTAATTTATTAAGCTTATTTTAGTCAATTTATTATTACAGTTGAGCGTGGTCCAGCTTTTGATTTATTAATAAAAGAACTGGAAAAGCATGGATCAGATCAGTTTACTCCCCAATTTGATACCTTGATCAATAAATTTCCAGCAGCATACACGTAAGTTCAGTATAAATGTCTAATTAGATTAGAGGGTACAAGTATTCTACGTATTTGCTTTATTCAAATTCTTATTACGTTTGGAATCATTAAAAAAATAACAATAGCTAAAATTCTAAAACATGTTTTTTTATAAAGTGCTGTGGGAACACAAGATCGAAAACCCTTCGGCACTCTTTATCTTTTTCAATCTCCAAGCGATCTAAACAGAATACCTAAAAAACTTATTTTATTTGCGGTATATATTGAAAACTTTAAGGTTAAAGTCCGCGCCTGGACTGTCTTCCGTCACCCCAGATCCACAAACAGCTCCAATATTTAAGAAGGCATTAGAGCATGCAGTTCAACTTGTAACACCAAATAATCTTAAAGAAGACATGGAAGGTACTTGCTCTTTTCAACTGGCAGGCATTGAATAGGCAAGATAAGGATCTTTTGATAAACGTAGTTTTAATTATTTTCAGGTGTCATAGAAAGATGCAGTAATTATTTGTCAGCTTTTGTTCGAGACAGAGGTATGTCGTAAATTTGAAAATCTGATTTGTGAACATATTTATAATAATAGCTCCACCTATGCCAAAGAATCACAAACTTTCGTAGTAAGGTGTTAGTTCCCTTTTAAAACCGACATGCAGAGTCGAAACTTATAGGCAACGCCTCTAGATCAACTCCAGCAAGGCAATGGACTTTTTACATTTCGTGACCATACTAAGGAGGCATTCATCTACACTCTCGTACACATCTATCGGCCCACTTAGAGTTATAAGTTGAATAGTCTATAGCAAAAATATATGTTAGGTTAAGCAATAATAAATTATATTTTTATAAACACAAGAATAAGGTGGTTTATAAACTGAAATTTATTCTTAAGCTATGGACCATCAAAACTTAAAATGCTAGGTGGGCCGATAGATGTGTCTAGGCATACAGTTAGTCAACTAGAACAGCAACTTGTACACCAGGCACTCTGAACAATGAAATCTTCATAAAAGTGGATAATTAATGCTCATTTCTCATATTTATTCAAGCTTATAGAATAAAAAATATAAAATGGTATGAAATATTTGTTACTTTTTGAATAGGTAGAGCTATGGAAATACTTTTGAAGTCTATGAAGAAAAGCGGTAAGAAGGAATTGACCAAAAGAAACAATCACACAATGGATTATGCAAATGGAGCTCATGAGTAAGCCTAATTGTAACCTTAACGATGATTAGCAACGTTTTTTTTTTTAATTTTGCAAATTCCTAGTCTAAATAGCTTGCTCATTTTTTGTTGCAGACAGATAATTTGAAAATTTTCATAGCTGCTCAAACTACTCAGCATTTTCCCCCATTTATTGCATTTTAAGCAGTAGGATTGACAATACATATAATTTGGTAGCGTATTATTTTCAGAACAGAAAATGCTCCTACCCTAGTTCCGTTTCTACCTGTAAAAGATATTGCTAACGAAGTAAAAGGAAAACTTGCTAAGGACGTCGAAAGCTCTACGCCCAATGATTTGAAGATTGCTATGAAATGTATGGTTTTGAGTTGTGTTATAGATTTTCGTTATCCAATTAAAGTTCTGTTTCTTTATTAAGATTAAATTGAAAATACAAAAATCCAAATTGTTTCAGCATTGGTCCAAGACGTTGGTAGACACTTGTCACAAGGTGTTGCCCTTAAGAGTAAGTTAATCAGCAGTAATATTATTATAATTATTCGTTAAGCTACAGAGACTATAGAAACATGTGATATTCTAGTAATGAGCGACAAATGTGTAGTTCTATATTATTTTGAAGAATAGAGGTGTTAGAGCTAAATTTTAAGAAAAGTCATAATTAAAACAATAATAATGATATTTCAGGTGGTATTGCCGGTGACAGATATCCATTAAACTTTTTAACGGCAATCAAGAAATCCTTAGGAACACGACCGCTTTACAAGTACAAATCATATGGACAAACCTACGGAGATGCAGCTGACGAGTGAGAATTCAGTATATGTTTCAAACCAACAACTATTCGAATTTGATGTTCTTAATATCGAATTAAATATTTCAAAATATTTAGATAATCGGAAAATGAGGACTTTAAATATTGTAATAATTGTGTTATATCTTATAGCATTATTCATCATATTATGATAGGCAATAAAAAAGGGTATATAACAACAACAACACAGTTGTTAGAAACTGATCAAATGCATTTTTGCTGCCTAGATTAAAATATGCTGGAGTCCTGGAATCTGATCATGGAAATGAAGAACTGCGACAACAGATAACAGCCGAACTAGAACAAGGCATACCAACACAGCTGACTACAACCGTTACACAATCAATGCAACGTAATGAAATTGTTTTTATTTTTTGTAGTTAACTGTATTGATCTAATAAATAACGAAATAATGACGAATGAGAATATAGTTAGCACTTAGTTACAAATCCCATAACTATGAACCAAGTAGGTAACTGAAAGTAAAAACACAGCTTAATAACGGATTGTCGATAACTCCGTTCACACTGTAGATTTTATAGGTCAGAGGAGCTGAATAAAATACGGAATCACAGTGACGAATGATACTTATATTCTGTGAAATATATTTTTACTAGGAAGCTGATACGACTGACTCCTAGCACAGCCGAATACAAAGTGAAGCAAGTTTATAAGTGAACTAAATGCGTGTATGATCGAATGAGTGGGGGTTGAACGAACGAATGAAGTATATGAGTTAAGACTGAATGAACAAGTATACTTTGTCATTACCTAGTCATGTTACTTTCTTTTTATTACAAAAGGAATACAAATTTAATATATATAGATTATTTTTTGCCAATTTAAATTCAATATACATTCAACACACACCGTTGCTCTTGTTTATTCTACATTGCCGGCCAGCAGATCAATTTTTTTTAAATTGATATAATATTATTTGTAATATTTGAAATGTCAGATACATTTCAAATAGACATAAAATATATCTTACATTTAAACACATTTAAAAGTTCTTCTTGACAGTAGCTAATGCTGAAAGCTGATGTGAAAGAATCTTGAATGAAAATCCGAATCTTTATAAATTTCTCGGTTTCAGCAATCATCATGGATGTTTCTAAACATTTAGCGAAAATTGGAACTGAGAAAGGTGAAGTTAACGGGTTGTTTTAAGTTTAACTATTGAATGTTAATATGAAATTGGATAGAAGTTAAAATGTTCATTTCGTAATTATAGGAAAAGCTTTGGATTATGTAGTAAAGGTGATGAGAGAGGAAGGAGATGCTCCAATGGAACAGTTACAAGGTTACATGCAAAGTTATAACGATGGTGCACGAAGGTTGGCAATTTTTAAGTAATAAATAAAACGATTAAACTTTGGAATTTAGATTGATATTAGGATAATGTTTATTTCAGAATTGAGAATGCACCTAGTTTAACCAATGACAAAGTTGATAATGCAGCATACGAGTCTGTGAAAGGTAAAATCACAAGTCTCACTGAGAAGAAGCCTGAACCAGAACACATGAAACATTTACCAGGTATATCTCAAAATCAAATATCGAAAACTAAGGACTTTATCTATATCACATGATTAGATATACAAGATATATGAAACAAATATTTTTATTTTCAGGGCTAATAGAAGATTCCGCAAAATTCTTATCTGCACCGTTTCCAGAAAGTGAGCATATTTTTAAAATTGAATAAACCTTCAGAATTCATATTAGTTTTTAAAAATAAACTTATTCAAATTTCAATATTTCCTTTAAAATGTCAAATTAAAAGTAACTTGCACTTTAAATTATTTTAGTTATTTACTGTATTTCAATATTGTTGATTAGGTGAAGCTGATAAGCGTCGTGTTTTGGCTGATTTAATGGCTCGAAAAGGAGATAATCTCTTAGGCCAAGAAGGTCTCTACAAACTGACTTATACCGAAGGGGGAGAAGAGTAAGTAGCGATATTATATTAGGGCAATATTTATTAAAAAGAACTTAAATATAGGTACAACTTAAAAAATGGTACTGGAAAAAATTCTTGGTCGCCTATCACATATTTTACAAGATATGAATGAATATGTCACAAAAGAATATATACGAATTTCCTCAAAATAAAGATAATAATCTGAGTAATTTAATGATGCAGGATAATGACAGCTCCTCTGGGTATCACTGCAGCCCACGATGAGAAAAAGAAAAAGGATATGCTAGAAAACATAAATACTGTAATACCTGACCAAAAGATGATGGACATACTTAAAGGTAAAATAAGCAATGCAAACAAGTTGAATGTAGTGTAAGTTAAAGTTTATATAGATTTTTTATTTAATAAGGGTGACAAACAAGCGGATGGCCCGTCTGATGGTAAGCGGCTACCATAGCCTATAGATTCTTTCGATATCAAAAATATCACACGAACCGTTGCCTATTCTGACCCAATCCCCTACCCCTCACCAAAAAACACAACACCACCAAAATTTAAGTCTTCTATAAGGTCGAGGTTACTTCCCCAGACGGGCACTCTAATTCGAGCGGAAAATTCGCTATGCCCTATCTCTCTTGGTACTATTACTGCTTATAAAAATATATTTTCTCATATTGTTTTTGTTATTTGTGATAGAACCAGCTAATGAGGGAGCAGCATATCTGTCAGATATCATCAAAGGAAGAGGTATGTACCTATTTTTTTTAAACAATCTATAACTATTATGTATAATTTTCTGAACTCGCAACATTCACATTTCAATCAGGACAAGCGTTACAAGTTATACATGACAACTTGGAGAAAAAACAAGATAAGGACTTCATTAATTTAGGAAAATATCACAAGAGTCATGTCGATGCCGCTCATATGTATGTCTGATTTTAATTATATAAAAAATCTAATGAAAATGTGATAATATTTTTCTATGTTAATAAGTTTTATTCTACATACTCATTTAGGTTGGAATCAGCAGCACACTTTGGAGGCCACACAGCAGCACCGATCATACTGAACAAAGTAAATAAGCGAATTACTGAAGTGGCTATTCCTGACAAGAGGACCCAAGATTACATGGAAGGTAATATCTTACCGAAAATATAATATTTATTAAATATACATAAAATCGTATAATCTAATCTCCACTCGTTTGTTTTATTAACAGATACGTCTCATCTTACGTCTTCATATTTGGCTGGTATTGCTACAGAAGAAGGTGTGTTTTTAAGAAACTTTGGCATCAGAAACTAAAACATAATCTATTCATTGCCTAAAAAATAACTCTACGAAGCCTAACCTCTCTAACAATATTTATTTTGCAGCGGACTTAAATCATATGGATACTACTTCAGGGTAAGTAGATATAAGGTAAGTATAAGTTACATTATAATGACCCACTTAGAAATACAATAAAACATATGTATTAAATAAGAATAAAATAAATTGTGCGTGTGGATCAACTAAAATTTGAACAGTCATTACCTCATATTGTAAACATTGTTAAGCGATTTACTCCATACATTGTAATTTCAACTCTATCATTACGTACTTACTTCAAAATAAAGAGTTTGAGGATTGTAAACCTCAAATCTATAAGAGTGGTAATAAGAATAAAAGAAATAAGTGATATATTAAATTATACGAAAAATATATAAAATATCAGGTTTGGTTGAGGTCCCGCATCACTGAATCCATAGGTCGAGCTTTCCATGAGTTTGCTCTGGCCAATAGTTTCTCCCAAAATGGTGTCGCAACCTACTCGCTTTCAAGATATTGAGAGCCATGAACTATCCTGTTGAATCTGACACTGAAGATGGACACAAAGCGGTGCTCGATGTCCGGTTAGGGTCGTCATCATTGCCTGATTAGTTCTACAGTCCCCTGTGCGTGTCCCATACCCTCACCACACTCAGTAGCTAATGGTTCTCGCAGAATCTCGCAAAATATGTTGGCGGATTCAGATGCAGCAGCAGTTCGCGTATTCGCCAACTGCTTTTGACGGAAGTGTTTAGTTCTGTGTCTGTCAAAATTTATATATTTTTTAATGCTTTCCAAAGCATCCGTCAAGCCATACGACCGCTATTAGCATTAAAAATATATATTTTTATAAAAATTATTACGATTACAATTTATAAAAAATGCAAGCATTTCAATCACACGGAATATATTAAAATATGTAATTTTTCATTGCATTTATCCACACAAGTACTTTACTTTTATAATTGTATATTTTATATTGGTTACTAGTATATGTGGAGATGTATGATGCACCCTCCTGAAAATAATCCTCATGGAGCCCATGTGTTTCAAGCTAATTATATATAAAAATATACTTACTCAGTGACGACGAAGCTCGTAGAAGAGCTGAAGAGGAAGCCAAACGGAGGGCAGCGGCTCGCAGGAGGGCCGAGGAGGAGGCTCGGAGGTAAATACAATACTATTGTCGTGGTTGATGGCGTGGTTTTTTCTAATTCTATCAGGTATATTATAAAAGTATTGGACACGGGTTTTTTCTTTTTTCACATTAAAAAAACTTTACAGAGACATATTTATACAAGAATTGACGTGCTTTGCCTTTTCAAATTTTTTGGTTGACTGACAAAAGAATTAATAATATATATTTTTTTATAATAATAAAAAAAAATATTTATTAAATCTAACCGACGGACTTATTGGAATTTCGTTTACTTTACCCCGTGATCATCCCTATTATCCTGCTATTGTTACCAATAAAAACATAAGTTTCTTTCTATAGCATAGAAGAAGAATCGCCTATAACGGAAACTATGGATTGAGATTACTAATTGGTCACTCGACCGAAAATCAGTTTTACCTAATAATAACGGACTGAAGGCGTTTACCTATTGTGCCATTGATTTTTCGACTACTTATCGTAGTCAATAAACAATTTTATAATAATTTATTTAAATATTCACAGGAGGGCTGAGGAAGAAGAGCGCAGACGACGAGAAGCAGCTGGTACCGTATTTGTTTTAATAGACTCCTTACCCAAGTTCTTGAGTCTTAAAACTTTTTTGTTTGTAAGAATTTAAAACAAAAATGGTTTAACTTAGCATAAAACATTATGTTAAGTTAAAAACAATAATTAAGTGTTTACAATTCATTGTATTTGTTGAGAACCTAATGTTAAAGTAATAATTGATGCACATATATGTAATAAGTCATTCTAGTATAAAATACTGATAGCAATGTGCTATAATAATTATACCGTAAATATGATCAGTTTATCCTCAAATAAAAATATAAATAAATAAATATTTCCAACACTCACACCAATTAGCCTAGCCCCAAAGTTTGGGATACTAGGGTAACGGATTGAATACATATTCTGTACTTAAAGAAGTATATTTATATAGAAATACATATTAAACATCCATGACTGGAGTACAAATGCTCGTATTCATCACACAAACTTGTGCCCCCACCGGGATAAGAAGCTGGGACCTCTTAAGTCGGCTACACCATGAAACCCGGCGTACAAACCACTCGGCCACGGAGTTCGTCAATATGTATGTACTCATAGCTTATAAACTCCAATAAAACCGTAAAAACTTGAAATGCAATGTTGTTCCAAAACGTCTAAACATTTTGATCATATAAACTGATTTCTGAGGAGCAGAACGCGCCTCTGCATTGGGAATACTACACACACAACTGGAAGCTCGAGGTGGAGAGAACTTTTACAAACAACCGCACACAGAGATGTCACACGCACAAGCCTCAAAATGGTAAGTGAGTTTCTACTTTTCCCATTCCCTTTCTTCAAAATCTCATAAGAACAATAGCTATTTCTCACTATAACTTTCTTAAAGAAGTTTTTCTGGATAGTGTCTCAAACTCGATCATTATAGAAGAAAATGCCACTTTTTCAGATATCTATCTCATGCCCTGTACTAAAAAACTGTTACTAGGTTACGTTCTTGTAACAGGTTAAAAACGCCACCTATGAAAGTTGATAAAGTAGTGAAAGAATGCGCCGATACAGATCGTCTTCACAAGAAATTCGAAAGGAAACTTAGTGCAGTTGTCAGTAAAAGCACGCCGAACAGCATGATTGACGTAATGCAGGGTATGTTCTGAAGATACTTGATTTATGACGATGATATTTATTTTTAGTGTTTGCCAACAAGTAGTTAGTGACCACAAAAAAAAAAACATAAAAGAAGCGCTCTTAACGAAACAAAGCAAATAAAGCCGAGTTGATTTAGAAAATCCTCAAACCTGCTGTCGTTTTCATTTTAAATTTATGAGGCATTCAAATATAAAGTTTTAACAATCATCTTTAAATATTTTCTAGATGTGGTCATCGAGTCGTCACGAACACTTTCAGAATATTTCGTTGCTAGCAGTAAGTGATAACAACGATAAATTAAAATAGACCGTTAGTTTGCGAAAGCTTACTTCATTTTTTAACTCCTTTTGATGATTCTGAACAGTTTTGCTACAAATTTCATCATGTCCATTCAATCCGAAACACAATCCGAACAACAAAAAAGCAGTTTATCCAAAGTTCAGTACAAAAGACTTCAACGCTTCAGTATTTTTGATAATATCCTTACCATGAATATCCGAATAACTAATTGTTAAATAAGTTTATAATTATTAAGTAAAATTTGTCCATGCAATTTTTATATTATAAAAAATGATGGCGAATCAAATATCGATAAACTGAAACGTTCTTAATCTCTAACAATTTTTAAAGTAAATAATACAGAATTTACGCTATTGTTACTTTTTGAAAAAATATATATTTTTTACTTTGACAGATTACAAAGCTTTAGCCCGCGAAGGTCTTATTTCGGAAATGCAGAAACGAGGAAACGAAATTCTTGTGGAAGTAAACGGAGCCGCTGAAACCTTTTTTTTTGCAGCAGAAAGGTTAGACAACACGTACTTTTGAGTTTACAGGCAACTATTTGAGCCATAATTAATTCAAATATTTCGTTAACTACTGTGGAATCGTCTGTTTTCCCTCGATAAGGTACTTCAAAATTTTAAATACTTTAAACAACGAACTAGGAATGATCTAATTCGTCGAACTTTAAAAATATATATTTCAATTATAAACTTATACCTGTGTTGAAAGTTGTATAACTAATCCGCTTCTACATAATAATTATTTAAGTATATCGTCGCCTTTTTCGTTCCTTCACTATTAGGTTGAAGAAGGCAACATCTATGGAAATAAAGGAACCATGTACTTCAGTAGCATATTATATTGCTAAGAAGTTAGATGAAATTATAAAATGTCGTTCTATGGCACGAAAATTAACGTCTACCATGAAAGGTCAGTCAAACTTTAATAATAATTATTAAGCTACCTATCATCCCAAAAACGTTTTCTTTTAATTACTAAATATCTTTAATTTTGCAGAACACATCAAAACAGCTGCAGAATACTTATCGGAATTAGCAACGAAGCCGGGTTAGAGTTGAATCATCTGCTTCAAATTTTTGAAAATGTTAATTGTTTTTAAAACCTTTATCTTTTTTCTAAAGACGAACAAATCGAGGCATATGTAACGTTACTTGCTGAAATGGAATCAAACGGTGACGCATTACTGATTGAGGGAAATATTCCGAAGTCTTATAAAGATGCTGCTGCTTAGTAAGTTTTTATGCATATTATGGTCCATGCAAATGACTCGCACACTAGGGCCCGTAATATACCGAGTTTACACGAGGCGATTTAGATTGATGAATTTTTATGGTTCATTTGTATTTTTTTCAATTTGATTGCTGCGATTGAAATCTGTTCAGACTAAAAGGTCAGGCTGATCAACTAAAATCGCCTCGTGTGAATCTTATTATAAAGAATTAATAGATCACTCCCAACTCTGAGACTACGATCTTTGGATCGCTGGATTTGGTAAATATTGATATGGTTATTTTTATTGCAATGAAGACACTTTTGAGGTGTATACTCGTGTCTTGCAGCCTACGGCAGTTGACATCGTGGGAGGACCAAATCAACCTACCAAACGGAAGTTTACAATCGGAAACAGTTAGAAAATTGAAAAGAATTATGGCAAATGTTACTCCTAGGGGATACAGTACGTCGGTACTGGACGGTAAGTTTTTTATATAAATTCCTCATGATAAGCTAAAATTGTGTACGAATATAGTGAAGAAGTTTATTTAAAAAAGATACTTAAAAAGTTATTTGTAAAGAAAAGTTTACTAGAAAAAAAAAATCCACGCGGACCAGGCAGCGGACGGGACACGAACCCGCATCCTGGTCCGCGTGGATTTTTTTCTAGTAAACTTTTCTTTAGATTTAAACATCTAGCAGTTAAATGCTTAAAATTAAATAAAATCATAAGTTATTTGTATTTCAGGCGTTATTAATGAATGTGCGAAGTTGCTAGTCTCATACATTATGTTACAAGGTATATTGATTTCGATATTAGTTACGTAAACGTAGTAAAGACTTTATATCCGTTCTTTAATTACCCACATCTCAATATTTTATTAAAATTGGTATTTACCGACGGTCTGTTTCAATTTTGTCAACTAATATGCAAAATATTGCACGACAATCACCATACTTTTTTTGTATTTATTTATTTATTAACTAATTTAGTACACTCAATAAATCAGATAAGTAGAAAAGGAACGACAAATTTGTACAAGAGTACTGCTTATTTTTCAATAATTATCTAAGATATAATTTACCAAATAGATATCGATGTAAATAAAGTGAATATTTTGTACTTTATATTTTAGGTGAAAAGACTAAAGCACTAAGAATACTAGTTAGCAGAATGGATGCTTCGGGAGACGGTGTATTGCTACGACATGGCACAATTCGCAAAACATACACGGACGGCGCCGATCTGTAAATATCTTTATCATATTTTTGTTTGCAATAATAGCAAAAGTTCTTCATTAAAACCATTTCAACCAACAGATTACGTGACAAAAATAACGATCAACTTCGCGTACCAAACGGGGACCCAGTGGTCGCAAGAAAAATACACATCAAACTTCACAATCTAATGCTGGCGCAAACTCCTGAAAGACATGCAGCGCTTATGGAAGGTTAAGACTCGTCGCAAGCAATAACATTCCAAATATATCTACATAGTAAAAATATTCTAAATATATCGACTAAATTTTTCCAGATGTTATTGAAGACGCTACGACGTACTTAGCTGTACACCTTCTGCAACCGCGTAAGAATTTATTTAAGAAAATAAAAATATTTTCACTAGTGTTTCAGTCAATGGACAAGCATTTCTTTTTTCAGAGCTCATTCAAGTCTGTAAATGTATGAAAAATGTATTTGTACAATGTGAGCTGTGGTGTGATGAGATACTGCGGCGAGTCGCCAGACCTTGCTGCACTTGTTCGCGACACGTGTCAGCTCAAGCCCTTCAAGATTTGGCCCCCGCACAACGGATCCAGATCAGCCCAAGCTCATCGCGGGCATTCGCACCGGGCATCGAAATATCACTTACTTCGTGTCCTTCGAAGGTGCTGCGGACTTGCAACCGACGTGGAGAAAACATTCCAGAATGCCCTGCAGCTAAAGGAGCTGGCCCTTGCGAGGATAATGCTACCACATCCTATCTTCTATATTCTGCTGTGCGTGACCAGCAGGAGTCTCGCAGCAGAAATACTTTAGCGTACTCTCCGGAGGCTCCATATATACAAGCCAAGACGCCATCCTCCATGGAGCGAGAAAATTTATCGCGCCAATCACTGTTGTTTGATGTATATCAGACAGAACATGCGCCGACATGTTCTCATAGAAGTACTGATAAAGCTGAGCCGGAACACGATAAACAAGAGACATCTGACGAGTCTGCAGATATGTATTTCACTCCGCCGAACACTACTACAACCGACCAGTCACCATTTTGGCAATCACCGACTACAATGTACACCAATGTTATAACGCGCAATAATTACCCCAGTCCTAAATCTACTTTGGGTACAGTGTCTTCTTCCGCAGGCGTTTCCGGGATTAGTTCGCGTAAGTATCTGTTATATTTAATATACTCTTTTGCATAGTAAAAAGGTCTCTACATTTTCTTCTCTACTTCAATGAAAATACAAGGAGGTTTTATTAATTTGGCGATGTATTGGCATGTTATTTAAAACATCCTGTCATGATTCTTTTACGGTTGCAAAAGAAAAAGTAATGGTTAATGTGGATTATTGTAAAAATTGCTTTACTAATGAAGCAAATTCCTGAAACGATTTTTTACTGATTACTAAAATTTTGAAACGTTTTTAATATTTTCTGCAAATTTAACAACTCACCTGCTACCTGGAATATTCTATTGCGAAGCGTGTTAACTGTCCAATTAATGTTGTTTGTTGCTTCACGCCGTGTCTTCTGAGAGCAGACTCTATGCTGGTCAAGTTGGTCTTATCGAATGCATCTTCTATATCCATGCAGATAATTTTATGTTGAAAGACTTCTTATATCTTCCCGAATAACTTTATGACAGTGGAGATATATTGGAAGGGTTTTCTTTGATACCTTTTGGGTACGGAACCATAATAAAAACGTTAACAATCTATTTACTGGTAAAAAAAGCGGCCAAGTGCGAGTCGGCCTCGCCCATGAAGGGTTCCGTAGCAGCAAGTAACATAATATAAAAGTTCTTGTAGTTCGTTGTTAACTTTGATCGATGTTTTAATAATAGTGTATTTCTTTATTGATTTGTGAATTATGACGTATAAAAAAAGTTTGCATAGTAATGTACATCATATATTGAAGTGAAACTTCTTTATCGGCGTTGGAAAAAAATTTACCGTCACATTTTTTTCGGTTACGCGTCACGTTTTTTGGTTACGCGCCATCTTTTTTTTAAAAGAGCACTATTTACCTCATCCGAGCAATTGCTTCTTCTGTCAACTTTAAAAAAAAAGTATCGACAGCAAATATTCGTGTTTCACACAAGGTAAGGTAAGGTAAGGTAAGGTAAGGTAAGGTAAGGTAAGGTAAGGTAAGGTAAGGTAAGGTAAGGTAAGGTAAGGTAAGGTAAGGTAAGGTAAGGTAAGGTAAGGTAAGGTAAGGTAAGGTAAGGTAAGGTAAGGTAAGGTAAGGTAAGGTAAGGTAAGGTAAGGTAAGGTAAGGTAAGGTAAGGTATTTTGGTATCCGTTTGCTTTGTTATGAGCAAAACACTCGCTTTTGGACTACGAGCTGTTTTTCTCACTGTTTTATGTTAATAAAGTATATTTGTGTTTTTGTAAATTTTAATTGATGTTTTTGTTAAATTCTTTTAAGTTCAATATGATTTTTTGGATGAATTCTATATATGATTTGATTGTTGTTTCTTTTTTAATAATGTTATTTAATTCATAGGGGTTTAGGTTTTTATTGTTTGTATAAGTTGTATATTGAAAAGTTTGTATATATTCATTTCTGTATGTGCTATATTTCGGACAGTTTTGTATTAGATGTTCTAGTGTTTGTTGGGTTGTATCGTCACAGGGACATTTGTCTGTTTCTTTTATTTTAAATCGATGTAGATACTGTAAATGGTACCCATGTCCTGTATATATTTGAGTAGTAATGAAGTTAGCAGGTATTTTTTCTATTATCATGTTTAATATTCTTAAATCTGGGAATAGGTGTTTGGTGTGTTGTCCAGTGGTGCTTTGTAAATATCTTTTATTTGTTTCTAATTCTATTTCTTCTTTGGCCTGTTTTTTATGGAATGAAATTGGAAATTTATTGTATTCTGGTGTTTTCTCTATTGTTGCAGCTGCTTTTGCTGCTTCATCCGCCAACTCATTACCGTATATTCCGCAATGCGCCTTCACCCACGAGAAGTGGATTGTTCCAATTTGTCGTAGTTTATGTTTATTTATGTGGGTTTCAGCGATTATCGTGTTCGTTGAGTTCCTATTTTTGAGTTCTTGGAGGGCGGAAAGGGAATCTGAGTAAATTTTACTTTGTTTTATTTTGTTTTGTACACACCATTCCGTTGCTTTTTGGACTGCAAATGCTTCGGCCTGGAACACCGTGCATGAGTCATGCAATTTGAGCTTATTTATTACTGTTTTATTTTGTGGCGTAATAACCACGAAGGCTGCACCTACTTTTCCATTATTTTTACTCCCATCAGTAAATATTTGGTATGTGTCTTTTTCTTTTAATTTGTTAATGTCATCATTTGTGGTGGTTATTTCAATTTCTATAGTAACTCGGTTTGCTGGGTGTAGAAGGTGCGATGGGTGTATTCGTTTTTGGTATGTAATATCGTCCGGTAGATATGGTGTTGTTTGTCTACTTTTGGTTTCTTCTACTTCTGCTATTTCTTTCAGTTTAAGGTCTAATGGAGTAAGCTGTGCTAGGGCTATTGCTGTTGTTGTAGGTAAGGTTCTAAATTCTCTTATAATCTTTATTGCAAATCTTCTTTGTAGTGATAGTAATTTTTTGTTGACTGTTTTATATTTCGTTGCTGTGGGTGCCCATACTTCGGCTGCGTAGGTTATTATCGGTTGTATTACCATTTTGTATATTGTGTCTACGTTTTTTGATTGTACTCCCCAGGATGGTCTGATGTATATGTTTAGTTTTTTATTGATTTTCTCTGCTTTGTCTATTATATAATTTACGTGTTTAATGAATTTGAGGTTATCATCTATTATTATTCCTAGGTATTTGATTTCGCTTACTGAGTTTATAATTTTATTATTTATTTTTATATTGACTTTTTTAGCTTTATTTGTGAAAATAATCAGTTGTGTTTTTTCGGGGGCTATCTCCAGTTTAGCATTGTTGCTCCAGTTTATGATTTTCTGAAGTGCGATTTGTATTATTGTTTATTGCATTTCGTAGGGCACTACTTGTGGATGATTGTGCTTTAAATCCAAATTGTTTCTCATTATTTAATTTGTTGCTGTCTGTGTGAAATGTTAATCTACTTGCAATGAGTTTTTCTAGCAATTTTCCCATGACATCTATCAGCCCTATTGGGCGATAGGCGCTTACTCGCGTATAATCATCTTTGCTAGGTTTTGGGAGTGGTTTCACTATCGTTACTTTCCAGGTTGTTGGGAAATGTCCTTTTGTCAAGCAGTGGTTCATTAGCTCAGTGGTCATGTCAGTATACTGCGTAATGAATTTTTGAATTATGTCAGATGTTAAGTTATCTTGTCCGGGTGCTTTATTGTGTTTAAAAGTTTTGATACATTCTAGTATTTCGTCTGATGTGAATGGTTTATCATTTTTTGTTTTTAATTCATCATATTGTTGTCTACGTAGTAATTTATGGTATGGGGTGTCCCGTGTAGGGTTGTCATTGGGGTAGAATTTTTCAAGTAAGGTTTCTGCGGTGTCTTTAGCGTCGTTCGTATACTTTCCATCTTCTTTTAATAGGGTACTAGGTGGTTGTTGTTGGTAAGGTAAGGTAAGGTAAGGTAAGGTAAGGTAAGGTGTAGTTATACCCCTTCAGTGGGTGAGTTTTTGAAAAATCTTAGCGCACGCCTATATATATATTTCTGGAAAGTTGCATGTAGATCATTTTTCGAAAAAAATAAGGCCATAAACACGGACCTAAAAAAAAGACGGACGTAACCTCGTCTAATCACGAGTGAAGCATGCAAATGGCCGCCCGTTTACCGTGTGTGCGTGATTTGAGGGTTGTCATATAAGTCATCAATTTCCCTATTTTTTAATGTCTCAAACTAAAATATTGTTAACACTATGTAGGTAATCCCGTTATTGTAATATGTATTTATTACAATAACGGGATATTTACCATGTTTTTATTAGATGTAAGCTCACTATATTTCAGCAATTTAAACGGGTGCACTTTAGAAACATAATGTGGGCCTATCAAACATCATTTTTATGACGACCGTTAGAAAAATGAAAACACTTGCTACGTATAAAGAAATTTCGGCTGTTGATTGTTTTCTTTTCCTCTAATATTTGTCGATATCTTAAAAAACGTAAATAACGATATTAAATTTTGCATTAAAATTCAATAGTTAAGTATCTTGTTCATAAAATTCTCAATACCTGCGGTATATGTGGAGAAGTGCTTTGTGTTTGTGTTTCTGGAGAGTTTGAAAATAACTGCAAGTAATAAGATAAATAAGACTGAAAGCCGCCAAAGAACAATAAATTATAAACAAATAGTACAAAACAGTATCTCAATCTTACCCTTTTTGGAATGGCGTACGGAACCAAACAACGTAGGCCCTTAGCTGTATTTTTAAAATCTAAATCATCAAAATGTGCATAGTACTGGCAGGTGATGGGTTCTAATTGTTATCCCCTCTGCAGTATCGAATAATTAAAACCCAGTCATTTCTACGTTTTCTATTTCTAGGAATCCTATTAGAAAGGAGGCAATACAATAATTTGAAACACATATACAAAAACAGAACACAGAAAGACAGGCCAACTAGGTCCCTGCCTCAGCTTAATACTACAGCAACACCAGGGCTGCTGCAGCGCTGATAATTCTGGTAGGGTTGACGAGACATTTTTAATTTAATTATAAAACAAGGTTAGAACCATACCAATCAACAAGCCAATAAAAAAATAACAACATAGGCTGAATGCTTTTAGTATCTTCAGCCTTAAAACAAGAGAAATGACTTTATTAAAAAATAAAATAAAAATGAAGTTAGATTAATCTATGACAAATTGGAACTTACAAAAACCAAAACTAAAACCAAACAATAAAACAACACAAAGAAATAATTTGTTACAATCAGTTGCTAAACACAAAAAAGTTTGCTACATATTTACATATATATAAACAACAAAGAATTCACAGCGAGAACATACCATTTTATAAAACATATAAAATATTCTATGAATAATATGGCTTCTATTCTTTTCATTTTGGGACACGGAACCCTAAAATGTTACGAAATCTGACCTTACCGAGTCACAAATGCAAGAAATACAAAATTCCCTACTTTTAGGGACAAAATCCCGTAAATAAAGTAGCCATACAGTTGTATTTTTGTTTACAATTTTCATCCCAGTAAATAAAATATAATATGGAAGAAATATCAAGAATTGTCAATACTTACGCATGGTAGGTGATTCTTTGTGACTTTTTAAATTTATTCGTGTAGTTTTTAGAGGATTTCACTACACAAAACGGCATTTTTAATTATTTTTATCAGAGCAATTGAATGTGTGACTGCCGCTGTCACGCGGGGTCAAATGGCAGCGGTTTGTCCGACCTGGTGCATTAGTGTGAGTGCAGGTAGTGTACAACAAACGATTTTGTCTGACCTTGCATGCTTCACATGATTTGCCTTTGATGTTACGTCCGTCTTTTTTTTAGGTCCGTGGCCATAAAGAAGTTTCACTTCTTACGTGTGTACACTAGTACACGCACACATTTTTTTTTTCAGTTTTATCAGTCTCTTATTTTAGAAGTTACAGGGGGGGGGGACACATTTTACCACTTTGGAAGTACCTCTCGCGGAAACTATTCAGTTTAGAAAAAAAATATTTTAGAAACCTCAATATCATTTTTGAAGACCTATCCATAGACATCCCACACGCATGGGTTAGATGATTTTTTGTTTAATTTCTGTTCTAAGTATGGGGATCCCCAAAATTTCTTGTTTATTTTATATTTTTGTGTGAAAATCTTAATGCGGTTTACAGAATACATCTACTTACCAAGTTTCAACAGTGTAGTGCTTATAGTTTTGGAAAAAAGTGGCTACCACATACGGATGGACAGACGGATGGACATTACGAATCTATAAGGGTTCCGTTTATTGCCATTTGGCTACGGAACCCTAAAATACAACTAACTCTAGTTATATCCGAATGCCAATAGCAGTAAATGGAACAGGCGCTATTTTTATTGTTAATATCAAACAAAAATGTTAACGGAGAATAAAAAAAATCTAGTAAATTGTGTTCATAGGTACACCTATTGTGACGACCCACCAAATGACTGACTGGCATGCGATGATGGTCAGCCTGATGTGGAATGTGCAAGCATGGCGCGATTGGATACAGGAGTGCATGGATCGTGCTTTGTCTTACAGATATGAACCAGACATCTCACCAAGTAAGTTTCAAATAAACAGTCCTGATAACATTTATGATAAGATATCATTTTCATTTTCACAATACCTGAGTATAAATGTAGAATTGTACCTTTGCGCCCTTTTCAACTTTTTTGATTTTAAGTATTTAGCTTGTTTACGTTACGAATAACGTAAATCACCTACGCATATTTTTTTTAAATGAAAATTCTTTTAGTGGAATCTGAAAAAAGATGGGCAAAACTACGTGAAAGAATCACTAATGAAGCATTCCAGTGGCGACAATATAATAATTTCAGTCGACAATTAACACTGCGTCTTGCTTCCAGATACGGAGACAAACAAGTATTTTGACCTTTTTGACGATATTTTGTAAAGTATTCTTTTAATTTTTTTATAGCTTCGCACAGACATTTTTCCTTAAAACACGCAAATCCGTATTACCCTACCCAAATGTACATAAAAATATACTTACATTTGGAATGAAAGTTATATGTAAAAAGTTATAACAATAGTCATAGATTTATTAATATTTTGTCGGAGGCTAAAATGAACTTGTCATAAGATTCTTTTTTATATTCTAAAAGACATACAAATATTTAATAAGCGCTACGGATCGTCTACGAAAGCTATGCTACGTATTTTCATGCTACGATAAGTTTAGTAAGAAATAAAATAGGGACTTTTCAGAGATTTGAATTTAGATTTTTTGCAAATTTAAGGAAGGCAGTAAAACCATCAAGTTTTATGGTTTAGTCAGTAACTATTTATTTAAACCATTGTTCAGATTGTGTCCCCGACACGTGCTACGGTAAGGACGGCTACCTATAGAGACTGCCAATCGGAAATGTTGGATATTATAAACATGTTTTACAGATGGACGCATTGGCTCAACGCAGTGGTGAGTGTAAAGAAGCACATATTGTCACTTTAAAGAATTTAATTTTGTTGATCTCCATATCATTCACGGTTAGCTGGTTACTTTTGACCTTATTAAACTTTTCATTTAACCTTATTTAAAAATTTTGCCTGAAACAGGATATTCCTAGTTCATGCTATATATTTTTCTTTACCCTTTGTTTTTTTTCTTAGATCTAAGTCACTTATATGTAAAAATTAATACTGAATAAAGATTTATTTATTTATAATTGGTCGTCATTTTTTACCAAGTTTAAGTCAATGTTCTTACCTATTAATTAGTATTTTAGAATGATACCGCCTCTTTGGATTTAGGATGGATTAGTATAAATTCGTATTATTCAATATTTTTCCTTAGGTGAAGGAGACCAACACGCTTCAACAAGTGACAGGCTCGGATGTGCCTTTGCACGTAATGTTAGTCTGTTTCCATTAGATTAGTCAAACCAATAACCTTTTACAGGATCTTAGTAGCCAAATTACAAAGGCGCAAAGTCATATAATTCCTGTTGAAAATTTAACTTTTTACTATTTTTATATATCAGGCAAATAGTCCAGTCATTATTGACATTCGAAAACGAAAATTTAATTATAATTCCAAAAGTTTTCAAACTTCGGTCAAGTGAATGGTACATTGGGACGACAATAAATCTCATTTTGCAACCATGTCCGCAGTCCGAAACATTGTTAAAATTGCAACTAAATTAATTTTTGCTGTATGATCGTGAAAAAAATTCCAAAAGTTCTGCAAACTTTTGGAAGTTTTCAATATAATATTTCATATCACCAATTAAATTTGCAATCAATCTAAGTGTACGGAACATTTTTGTTATTGAAAATTAATGTTTTTTTTTTATTAAACTGAATGAAAACGTTCCAAAAGTTCTGCAAACTTGACACATATATCGGAAAAATATACCGAACGGTTGTATAAATTTGCAACCTTTTTCGTTGACCGGAACATGTTTATTTATAATTCTTTTTAATTCATGGCCATTTTTTCGAGTAAGGTGGTCTCGGAATAATTACAAAAGTTTTGAAACTTGGTTGCAAACTTCGAAAACATCTATTCTGATGCATTTACAAATTTGCAACCTCATACGCGATCCGGAACTTTATGCAATTTGCAAAAATGTAAGTTTTTTATTTTTTCACCTTCAAGAAAATTTCAAAAGTTCTGCAAATCGTGGGGACTGTTTAATTTTGGGATTAATGTCAGTATTAAAATTTGCAACCTCTCACGCAATCCGGAATCTTGTGTGATGTGGAAATTTAACTTTATGGCATTTTTCATTTTCGAAAAAATTGCAAAAGTTTTGCAAATCGAGCCAATGATTGTTTCTTTGAGGTGGTCAGTATTAAAATTTGCAACCCCGCATGAGATCCGCAACTTTGTATTCTTTGCAAAAATCGATTTTTCGCATTTTGTTATCCTTGAAAGAAATGCAAAAGTTTTGCAAATCGAGCGGATGGTCTTATTTTGGGATCGATACCACTATTCCAATTTGCAACTTCGCACGAGACCCGGAACCTTGTGTTATTTGCAAAAATCGACTTTTTTAATTTTATTACCGTCGAAAAAATAAGACATAATAAGAATTTCAAATATTTTCAAATATTCGTAAAAAAGGTAAGTAAACATTAATGGACGACAATGCGTAGGTGAGTAACAGTGTATTTAATCCCCAGATTCGTTTTATTAATCAAAAAATACGTACCGGCAAAATCCTACGTCCGGTTTAAATAAGCCCAACGGAATTTATTTTAGGCATAATCACCTGTCATGTAAAAATAGCACTATACCAACATCTGTTAGAAACAAATTGTGTTACAAACAATTTCAATCATTAGCATCTGAATGGTATATTATTGATTTATTTGAAAGACGAATTTACATCAATAGAAAGATGAACTTGGAGGATCCATAATACCTTTAAAAGATAATGAAAAATTTAATAGTAGAAAAATTTGTTGATGAGACATGCTGAAAAATACTATATGAAATAATTTCTGTATTACGTTTATAATTTCTCATATAAAACAAGTAAATTTCGACACTGACGATTGTTACATTCAAGCATTTAAGGAAAAACATTTCGAATAGATTGTCCGTAAATAATATCTTTTTTCAATATATGAGGTCAGTTTTGGCCCTGAATATATAACAGCGATGTGTACGGAAATAATATTTTGCGTGAATGTGATTAAAAAATATTTCCGTATTCCGGATATGGTTGCAAATTCAAATACTGACATTAATCCCAAAATTAAACAGTCCCCTCGATTTGCAGAACTTTTGAAATTTTCTTGAAGGTGAAAAAAAAAATACATTTTTGTAAATTGCATAAAGTCCCGGATCGCGTATGAGTTTGCAAATTTGTAAATGCATCAGAATAGATGTTTTCGAAGTTTGCAACCAAATTTCAAAACTTTTGTAATTATTCCGAGACCACCTTACTCGAAAAAATGACCACGAATTAAAAATAATTATAAATAAACATGTTCCGGTCAACGTAAAAGGTTGCAAATTTATACAATCGTTCGGTATATTTTTCCGATATATCTGTCAAATTTGCAGAACTTTTGGAACGTTTTCCTTCAGTTTAATAAAAAAAACATTAATTTTTAATAACAAAAAATGTTCCGTACACTTAAATTGGTTGCAAATTTGACACGTGATGTAAAATAATATATTTAACACCACTCCAACTTTGCAGAACTTTTGGAATTTTGGTCTCAAGAACTGAGCAAATTATCATTTATTGCATTTTTAATAATGTTCCGGACCGCAGAACAGGTTGCAAAATTTTATAGTTTGTTTTAATACCATTCCCGACCATACATCAAAATTTGAAAACTTTTGGAATTATAATGAATTAATTGTCTTGACTGACTGGACTATAAGCGGTTTAGCACCTTGCTTCATGACTAGAGCATGATATTAAATTTTTCAATATTTACATTTTCTCATAGTTACCTACTATTTCAAATAGAAGTTCCACGTCTTTTTAATTTACTTAGAAAATAGATTTAATTTTCAATTTACTTAGAGAATAGATTTAAGAAATCTCTCCTATTGTGTGTATTCCACAATCAATATTGTTTACGAGAAACTGTAATCTTTGCAATACAGGCGCTGGATTCATTTCAAAAAGAAGATTGAGGAACACCTTGATGATTGGAATAAATACAAAACACACTTAAATGTTTATTGGGAGCACAAGTACCAGTCACTGATTTCAGGTATACTTTATCTTATATATAAAATTCTCGTGTCACAATGTTAGTTACCATACTCCTCCAAAGCGGCCTGACCGATTTTTATGAAATTTTTTATGCATATTCCGTGGGTCTGAGAATCGGCTACTATATATTTTTCATATCCTTAAGTGATAATGGTAATACCTGTAATGTAGTGTTCTGAAACCTACAATGCGCCTTCGCACCAAAATTCAAACTATTGGGAATTGTAACGTAGTGCTCTCATATGGGTTAGTTGGAATTTTATCCCAGGAAATTACTACGTACACACTCCTAAAATTTTTTTGGACAATATTTATTTTTTATAATGTGGTATTAAAAAATACATACCTACATTCCTAAATTTTGTCTTCTACCACCTGCCCCTATTTTTATGGCGGTACGAAGTTCGCTGGGTCGGCTAGTTTACTTATAGAATATGATCAGATATATCAAAATGTTTAGCCTCTATCAAATACCCACTTCCCAGGATTACCTAACCAGTCTTAATTATCTTTTTAGCGGAACTTTTATACAGATAATAAACGCTATATTATAGCGTATCTCGTAGTTTCATCTCAAGCATGCAGTTTTTTGTTCCACACTTTTAATATTAGGGAGTCTAAACAAGGATTTTGGATTTACTCGAGCGCGGCAGAATAATATAGCCCTTATATTGCACCTTGCCCCTTGTGAAGTACACCCAACATACCAGAGCCAATGTAGAGTCGAACGTCCAGGGCAGCAAAAAATGTTAGGTGCAGTGGCGGCGCTAGACCACATGTGGACGTCGGCGACATCAAGTTCGCGAGGCCTATTTTACTTCGCAGTAAAAAAGCGTTAAATTAAGTGAGCCAAATTATAAAATAACGTACGAGTAAACGAGTTTTATTGTTGATAATCAAATGATGACAAAAAATAATTACAAACATAGAAATTAAAATAGTCGAACTTTTCGGCTTTTAGCCTCACTGATTTTTTTCAAACAACTCGGTGATTCCCCGTCCGGATTTTCATGCGCGCAATTGAGCATTTTCATACTACCTGACCGACACGATATCGGTATCGGACGCTCATAAAGAAGAGCAACACACACATTATGTTTGTATATTGCTATACGTGTAAACGCACGTATAATTTAAAATCTGTGTAAACCCATCAATGCAATAAGTAAATATGATAAATGACAATACAAACATTTTCACCCAGTACAGAATATCGTGTCGGGTCGGGCAGTGAAACGCTCATTTGTGCAAAACTTTCATTTCATAGTGTTGCCAGACAGACTGCCAGATTCTGAATACCCGTAAAGTACTTCTCGCTTCCATCACGCACGTGTTCGAAAATAATAAAAGTCATTATCATTTGCTTAGCTTTTTCCCCCGAATTGTTCGGGGACGGCTACCTAAGCCAGGACAGGAGAAACGAAAATAAATAGGTAACTTGTAAAAATTTTTTGCGAGGCCCCCTCAGGCGCGAGGCCGTCGGCGGTGGCCGACGTCGCCGACGCCTAGCGCCGCCACTGGTTAGGTGAACCCTCCAGTAGCTTTGACTATTTTGAAGCGACAAAAAAAACATGGCCAATTTTGAGTAGATTGTTTGCTGCCCTGGACGTTTGGCTCTATATAGGAGGTATCAGATATGGTGGAACCACTTCACAAGAATCTAGGTTACCCACTTTGTCATTCTACCGCTCGAGTAAATCCAAAAATCCCTGCTTGGGCTCCCCTACCATAAGCATGACCTAACTCGGATTTTTATAAGCTTTTTGTAAACTTTTAACACCACCAAATCCATCAATACCGATGACAGGTCCAATGTCGTAGTAACTACCAATTTTATTAGGAACTGCGTAGTCCCCTCGAAATAACAGTCAGTCTGTTACGTTTTTACGTCTAACCTGTGATGAAATATCAGTGCTTGATTTAGAGTTCTGTCCGCCCTAATCTAATATGCCCCCCCCCCCCTCATAACATCATTTCAACATCAAAGAAATTGTCAGGTAAACGCAACCTACCTGTGTTTACCTGATAAACGAATGACGAAAGAAACCAAATAATTTCAACGAAACCGACTTTAACGGCTGTTACCCCTGCTCCCACCAACACAGCCCACTGGTGGGTCCCCCTGGTATGATTTGGCCACTAAGCTGTCGCGGTGGGACGTAGGACCATGATAAAAATTAATTAACCCTAGGTGGTGAACACTATTTAGAGCAGTGGGGCAACGGATTAAAAAAACCCTTGGGTTCCACCAGGAGGACATGTTGGTGGAACCAGGGGTAATAGCCGATAAATAATATATATATTCAATAAAAATATAACAGAAGACATTAAAAAAGAAAAAAACTTACTTTGAGACTTGAGAATATTGTATAAAACTCCGTTTTCTTGCTTACTCACTGGCGAATCTTTCCACAATATTCTCAAAATTAACGTTTTGTATATAATCGTCTCCTAAATTAATGATTTTATCTATAGTTATTAATATATTTGTGTGAGAGCATACACAAGAATTTTAACGCATATATTTTCCCAAAATTACTATATATTATTATGTGCCTGTGGATAAATCAGGCCCTGTGAATTGTGATTGACTTGGTAGAGAGACAATGGTGTCGATTCTGGCATGATTCTCTAAACTTAAAACTAAATTTAACATCAATCTCTCCTTTTCATTCCGTATAGAGAATGACAAGGATACGCTGTTGTCAAATTTTAGTTTAGGTTTAGAGAATCGTGTCAGAATTGACACCATTATTTCTATTTTACCAAAAAAAATGCAGTCGCTTGCAGTTGCTCATTTTGAATAACAATATGCATGTCAGAATGGCTGCCGTCGTGGAACAAGCCGGGTCCCGTGTGGGTCGTGAGCGCATGCGGTGCCGTGCCCAGCGGCGCGGTGGCGGCGGGCCTATGCCGCGGCGAGGTCACCTGGGTGGCGCGCACCACGCACAAGTAAGCGGACACTGCGAAAAAGGCGAATCCAACGGCGCACAGACGGCGTACAGAATAGCACTGCAGTAGCGTCTCTACGCACGCTCGCGCCCGAACGCTAGAGCTCTGAGACGTCACAGCCACCACGCGGCCAGCCGAAAATTCTTTTAGTAGTTTGTTCATAACTTCGTTAATATGTAATCTTTAGTATAAATCTGCATTCTCAACTAAAATTGTCGCGGATCGTCATTCCGGTAGTCATTTGTTAGACTAATAAGCTCTGACATTAAATTTTCTTCCCCTTTCCTTCAGAGGACCACGCGCGCTGGCCTTCATTGTCACCGTCTAACCATGGCCACAATTCCAACACATGCAAAGAAATTTGGTGGTTCATTTCTTTGTCGCACTATCTGTAAATGGAATGCTCTGCCTGCTTACGTTCCTCCTTCTTACAACCTAGGATCCTTTAAATGAGGCGTAAAGAAGCAACATGCATGCCGGCAAGGTGAGGATGGCTGGTGTGGCAGGTAGAACTGCTGTACCAGCTATCTTCACGTTTGGACTTCTCCATCACTTAACATCAGGTGGGGTGGAGTCCTGTATCGGACCTATCTATGAAAAAAAGTAATAATTTTAGTTTCCCGTTTAATGATGAAGTTGTAATGTTTACCCCTAGACTTAATTAAACTAATAGTTACTTGAAATGTGAAATATTGGTTATGAGTAAATGATTATTATTATTAATTAAAACATTTTTTCTCCATAACACAACCTTTCAGCTCAAGCTTTGGTTACTTTGGGGCTAGAATAATTGGTGTGAGTGATGGAAATATTTATTTATTATATTTTTAACTTGGTTTTTAATTTTTTAACAGGAACCGTGTTCTACCAGCGGCCCTACACCCCTCCAAGCATTGCTGTACAGTCTACGCTGATGGTTCTGTTCATCATTATACTAAATACCAAGTAAGTTGTAAAAATCTCATACTAAAAATTAGGAAAAGCCAAACTTTATTATATGTTTTGTTGGTTTGGTAAACGTGTTTGAGTTAACTCAATTAATGAATAAAAAACAGAATTTTCACTTTGCCATTACAAATGTAATTACGAAACTAACTCCTCCGAAACGCTGGACAGATATCAATTAGTTATCACAAATTAAAAAAAAAACACTAATTAACCTAGCCCCAAAGTAAACACTGTAGGCTTGTGTTATGGGATACTAGGGTAATGGACAGAATACATATACTGATACATATATGAGTATATTTATATAGAAATACATATTAAACATCCATGACTGGAATACAAATGCTCGTATTCATCACACAAACATCTGCCCCAACCGGGATCTTTCACGTAGGGGACACATTGAAACCCGGCGTACAAACCACTCAGCCACGGAGGTCGTCATATATTTTATATGCATACATACAATAGGGAATATGCGTGTAATTCAATATGGCCCAAATATTTTGCACAAATCAATATTTTTTAATAAAGGACATTGGGCAAAAATGTATGGACGCTGCACCCACGTCCGCCACGGCTTAAACTACATTTGTCTGAAAGGTACTATAGTCGAGATCATCTGTGCCATAGCGCACCAAATTCCATCCCGGGGGTCTTTAGTTATTTTAAGTTAAATATGTACAAGTACTATTGTGAACGAACATTAATTTCACAAGGGAATTAATTTAGTTAGTTAGTTCGACCCTACATAGGATGCTCAGGAATTATGGGAGTACTTCACAAGGTGCAAGGGTGCCCCCTTATGTTATTCTGCCGCGCTAGAGTAAATCCAAAAATCCCCGCTTGGGTTAGGTTTTTTTAAACATTCTGTTCGTTATAGTAAATTGTCTTCTATGTAGAACGGAGCGACCACAGATTACACAAACTTGTCCACGCTTCGGAGAACACATGACTCCAGTTCATCCATACTAATTGGCAAAACCAATAATTGTGTTCCAATATCCAAAGCGTGTTAGATAAAAAATAATCAAGTAGCATGGAGCGCACAATCACAACGAAGTAAGACAAGTCGACTATTTGCAACTGCAAGTCCTTCACCGTTTTGAAATGTCCCAGTAAGAGCAAGCGCAGGATGGTCGGCAGGCTTTGTCGTATATCTGGTTGTATAGTACGATATGGAATAATAATATTATTATGATTACTAATAATATAAAATGAAGGTACTATAAAATGAATTTATTCAGCTACTTAAATATGTGTCATATCTATTGACTACCAGGACATTTTTACGGTGTTATATCTTTTGACTCCCAGGATATTTATTTTCGGTGTCATAATAAAAAAAGGCTAGTTTTTCATAGATCTATCGATTCATACTAATTACATTGTTGGCGGAGCTGGGTGCATTTTGCCCATTGTCCTTTCTTTTTTAGCAAGAATTTATTAATAATTGCGAAAAACTGGGGGAAATTCGAATATCTGAAAAGCGACAGAGCGGTTGTAACGTAGAAATCCATAAGAAACATCAAGGGTGTATTCCGAAATATACATCAGTATACTGGCCAGTGGTAATGACGTCACGAATCTGACGCCATATTGTACTGGTATGCTACCAAATTTTTACCGGGAAAACGAATATGACGTATGACCAAGCGTGCGTGAGATGCATTCGAATTTTATTTAAAGAACAATAATGGCTTCCGAACAAAAAGAATTCCTTTTAATTGATGAGGTGAATAAAAAATCTTCTTTATCGCACTATTTTTAATATTTCGTCGATTTATGACTTCAGTGCACTGGCCAGTACATTTCGGAACAATTCACCAGTATAGCGTCGTTTCATGACACCATTAGCACTGGCCAGTATACTGGTATATATTATGGAATACACCCCAAATCAACAATCAAACGCCATGTTCACGGCAACGAAACCTAGTGCGAGTTCGTAGTGTACGCAAACCTTACCACAGACTACTTAATACCTTGTTACTACGTAAACCTAACCTCTAATGTGAACTTGTAACTGTCGACTTGTTTGTTATGTCGATATAAAATGCCCGTGCGTGGCTATGTTTATATATACTATATTAAGGGGATGTAAACTACTAAATAAAAATATATAAAAAAAACTTGCATATTCCTTATTGTGTGCATTGGTCCCTAATATCATTCATAACTGGACACAGTAGTTAGCCTTGTATTCGGGATCTAGGATTTCTTTTCTATATTTTTATCGGACAGGACTTCTGTTTTCTTCTCTCGTATTTTTTTATTAATTTCCGTCCGCCTCCATTTTTATTCAGGTGATGTGCAACGCCGAAGTGACCTGGAAACCTTGGAAGGCGGGCAGCATACCCACCGACTCTGTCAAAATAGCTTCCAAAGTATACGCGGGCCGAGTGCACTACCACGGGTCGCATCTCGTTGGGGCCGTGCACGCGCCCGCTTATCGGTGTCACGTGATTATATACGATAGGCCGTTCGCCTTCAATTGTTACGACTTGCTTGTACTCGAAGCTAACAAACGATGAAAAACAAGGGTACGGGAGTAGGTGGTGTGACGCTAGAAGCTATAATCGCTTGAGTTGTGATCTTTGTTGAGGGAAGAAAACTCCATATTCTTAGTGACAAGTGTAACTTTGTGTTTTTAATGGTCATAGTTAATTGTTAATGGAAGTTGATAAGTTACATAGATCAAGCGCAAGCGATTGTCGCCAGTAAGTGTAAAATCACCAACTTACTTAGGATACTGATTGGCAAATTTTGAAAAAATTGTACGTGGACCAATTGAGCCAATTCGTAGGAAAATTGCAATAGCAATTTTGTTTTCTTTCTCTACGAAGAATCTCAAGGCCTTGGTTCCTGAATATCTATGCAGTTGCTGTAGATTTAGTATCGAAAACATAGAGTTTTTAGTTTGTTATATTTATATTGTTGATTTGTTTTTCGGTGGTTTATGGAAATATACAAAAGTTCTTTAGAAACAATATTAATTTACTTAAATAATACTACAAAATGAATAACATCAATCATCTGTTTGTTGCTTATCATCGTTTATGACGACAAAGTCTCCGTTCTGTTCTTTGGTTTCTTCGACGACTTCAACTTTCTCGATGACTCCTGTGGCTGCCACTAGTCTGACGATGTCTCCGGTTCTGAACATGTCTGTGGCGTGTGTAGCTCCCACTATGCACGGTAGTCCATATTCACGTGCTATTACGGCTCCTAAAAGAGTGTTAACATAAATAACGTTAACAACTATACAAATTTATAACGATAAATAACATTAAACTATAATAACATAACATTAACTTCTCGAGACATGCCGCACTTAACGATATCATACGCCGGTCCATTAACACCGTCAACGTGCCAAATCTACTTGAGCCGACTGGTATTGCAAGAGACGATGGCAAGAGACCGGACGGTATGAGTTTGATTCCATGGAAGATGGACCGGGTGCTAGTATGGGATACAACCTGTTCAGACACGCTGGCCCCTTCCCATCTACATGGAACCAACAATAGAGCTGATGCGGCTTGCGAAGCGGCTGAAAAAGCTAAGGCGGGCCTAGGCTCCGAATATAATTTTGTCACATTCCTTGTAGAGACCCTTAGTCCGTGGGTTCCTAGCGCTATAAGGTTTTTTAAGGAAATAGCAAAAAGGTTAGTCGACACCACAGGAATCTTACTTTTTAGTCCAGTCAAATTAGTCCTTAAAATAGAAGTAAGGTTTTTCAAAAATTCCCTATTTGGACATTTTTTTTAAACTGTAAAATGCACAAACTTTGTTACAAAATATAAGCGATAACCACGAGTTGTCACTACGAAGGAATGCTTACGACCAACAGTATTTTGTTGTGTATGAGACCTTTGAAACGGAGCAGATATACGAGCATCGCCACGCTGATAATTGAATGGAAGAATGTTATAATTTGTATGTATAACACATAGGGACTCATAAGTTTACTCGTATAACGGTTCAAAAATGTATATGAAAGTACATTAACGTGCATATTGCGTTTTTTTTTTTTCAATTCTTTCAGCCTATAGCTATATCACGGAAATGGCAATACTTATGAAAAAAAAGTGTGAATACATTTTTTGTAGATGATCTACAATATGTCTGAACTATTTTTGCTGTAAAACTCACCGTTTAGCTGAAAAACGCGAAAAACCATTTTTTTCAAACTTTCACCATCAATAATTTTTTTTGCACAAGGGGGATTGATGGGAACTTTTCACAATTCATTTATAATAATATTCTGAACAATCACACCAATTTTTAGCACTATGGGAATTTTTGTAACCTTCAAAGTCTTATTTGACTGGACTATTTTGTTCTTTAGTTAAATTTATTAAATGTACATACATGTATACATTAACAACTTTATAAAGGACATGTATAAATACTGTACTTAGTAATATTTAAATGTAAATGGCTGAATATTCATAATTTCTATGAAAAAAGACTCCTACTATGTCAGTACCTTACTATAGTTGATAAAGGATGTAGCCAATTATTTACAGAGTCATCAATTTCACATTTTCTTAGAATCTTTCATCCCATTTCTCTGATTAACTATTCACAAAAAGTTTTTTAAAGCAAAAATAAATGCAAATAATTTGTTATCGTCTCGCAGGAAATCTGTGAAGGATTATTTTGTCTATTTGCAAAAAAAAAAAATTAAGGATTAATTATCATACAGCCTTGTCTCAAGCCTGATCAGAATAATAAAATCTATAATTTTAGGCCTTCATATAATTAAAATTTTAATGCATGGGTTTTTATTAAGAACTTATACAGTATGCATTGAAGGTAACTTTCAATGCTTAAAAAATGCCTAATATTGTTTTTGAACTACGCGATCATCTTAGGGAGCTCCGTAGATCGTCCAACCTACCTTTTGGACAGGTTCTAGTCACGATTTTGTTCGTGTTGTTGTATCTCAACACCGCGACCCTAGGCACTATAGTGTTATTTCAACTAAAGTCAGCTGTTGTCTATGTAAACAAAATAGCGCGGTTTCCTAGGGAGCGGTAATTTTCTTTTTGCGTCCCTTATATTATATATGTGGACACCGCTTTCCTAGGAAAAAAATTAGCTTTATCAAAGAAACTTCAATATAAACAATAGTGATGAAAATACAGAAAACGCACCATGTGAGATGAGCCCTCCCAATTCGGTAACGATGCCAGAGAGCAGCGGGAAATATGGGGACCAGCCGATATCAGTGGCGTAAGTGATCAGTATGTCTCCCTGCTGCAACTGATCGATCTGAAATTTAAATAGTAGTTATAATGGCTGAGTCGGTGGAAAGAAACATTATTAAATTTGAGGAAAGAATGCTAGTTTTATTTTATGCTCATATTCCGTTTCAGTACAAAAACGTAAACAATAACTATAGGATACTCTAGTAATAATACTAAAGTTTAATCCCCTATAGTTACCTCAGAAAAATCCTTGACGACGCAGGCCCTTGCGACGGCTTCCCCTTCCCCCACTGAACTGACTTCCCGGGATTTTCTCTCGATGTTAGTAATAAAGTCGAATTGCCTTAAAATAGTTGTTGCCTCAGACAAATCCTTAACGACGCAGGTCCTCGCGACATCTTTCTCACGCCCCACAGACCTTGCCTCTAATCGCACGTTGCCCGCTAATACATACGGGACTTTACTCTCTTTAGTAGTAGTGATAAAATCAAATCGTTTGAATATAATTACCTCAGACAAATCCTTAACGACGCAGGCCCTCGCGATGGCTTCCCCTCCCCCCACTGAAGTTGCCTCGAGTCGCACGCTGCCCGCTAATACTTGCGGGACTTTAGTCTCCAAAGGCTGCACCCATCCCGTATTCAACTCTGAGAACTTAAGCTTGCACCAATTCGGGAAGCATTGTTGCCGTTGGATTGCCCTACATGATATCACATAGTTTCATTTCAAGGCTAAATAATATTCGCACATCTCAAATAATTCAAGTTAACAAGCTCGTAAATTTCTTCTCGTTATTTACAGAGCTGTCATCTATATGTATACAGGATATTATAACATTGATATTTGCCCCTTCGGCAACAGGGTTCAATCCCGAATAAAATATTATAAAAACACATACACACACACGCAAGTAAATAAAAACATTTTTTTAAAAACTCACTTTCTCAACAAAGCTGGATTGCGTGTCTGAATAAATTCCTTTAATTCGAAGCAGCGGAAGAAGAAGACGAGCTCGTAATCGGGTAGATACCACTTGCGTACCATCAGTTTTCCTAATTCTATGGCGGCCAGTCGCAGCTTGTGGATGGCTAGGATGAGGTGAGCTTTGGTGCACTCTCTGTGCCGAACTGTGCGCCGACAAAGAGGCAACACCCAGGCGAGAATTTTCCTAGGCAATAAATAACATATCAGAATTATAGCCTGCGCAGACGAGGGGCTTTTGTCCGCGATAGAATTTTGTTCGCCCTAATAGATCTCTTAAAACTGCACCGAGTAATACACACGGCGCATTAAAAATACCGCAGACAAGAAGTCCCCTTAACTACCGCGGACACCAACCCATATCCCGTATATCCATATACCCGTGTGTACCCAGTGTTCTCTTTTAGAACGACTTCTCTTTTTCTTAAATTTCGTGTAAATGTTTCAATACAATACTATCTCCGAATATTGCTTCCATAGCTCACTAAATTTTTGGGGGAAAAATGTCCGTACAGCGTATGAGGTGAATCCGTGGCAAGTCCTCGGCGGATTTTTTTTTTCATAATACGTGGACAAAAAGTCCGTCGTCTGCGCAGGTAGGTCTCGGCCTACTTACACGACTCAGCTCCCACCCGGAAAAAAGAATATAATTCAAGTATGGGCTTTAAATATTGCTCTTTTGGGTTAATTTTAAGATACCAAAAGTACGAACGCTCACTTTTGCTCATCAAGTGAATTATTAAAATACATTCATGTTACCTTAATCTAACTAAATGTTATTATTTGGCTTGCTAAATTAAAAACTAATAAAAATATTTTTGACCACCTATTACGCACCAAATGCCGCCATGCAGCTCAGTAGACAGCTGGGTAGCTGCTAGCTGTCACCGCGTGGACTGCACGCAGTCGAATCGAGGCAGTGGGATATCACCTTTAAGCCTCTCGCTGAAGGCAGTATAATTCGATGGCGGATGTGACGGATTTTTTTTATATCAACACGATTTGATTTGATGAATTTGATGATGATAATGAACAATGTGTTATGTGTTATAAACTATTCATAGAAGTTAAACAAATTTTGAATGCATAGTTTAAAATGTACATAACTTACCCAGTGCGAGCCTTTCTAGGCGTAGTTAAGGAGCTGATGATTTCAGCATCCGTCCTCGCTATCGGAGCCTCTTGATTTGACCCCCTTAAATTTTGTAATATCTTCATTAATTCTTCTGGCACCAAGATCCAAGGCTTAGTATACATGTCAAACTGTAACAAACATCTATGCATTTCATTCATTCATTCAGCGAAGGATGCGGGTTCGAGTCCCGTCCGCTGCCTGGTCCGCGTGGATTTTTTTCTAGTAAACTTTTCTTTAGATTTAAACATCTAGCAGTTAAATGCTTAAAAATAAATAAAATCATAACTATAATTGCTATTTCTTCTTTCAAATGTTTAATACTTGAAAAAGTATTCATTTGACATTGTGGGTTACCTACAATGCGAAGAGATGGCGCTGCCTTGCAGCTTAAACCTAGGAAAATTTCAACGCGGCTAATAGGGCCGTGGTAGCATAATGGTCAGTGCATTCGCCCGGATAGCGAAGGATGCGGGTTCGAGTCCCGTCCGCTGCCTGGTCCGCGTGGATTTTTTTCTAGTAAACTTTTCTTTAGATTTAAAGATCTAGCAGTTAAATGCTTAAAAAATAAATAAAATCATAACTATAATTGCTATTTCTTCTTTCAAATGTTTAATACTTGAAAAAGTATTCATTTGACATTGTGGGTTACCTACAATGCGAAGAGATGGCGCTGCCTTGCAGCTTAAGGCTAGGAAAATTTCAACGCGGCTAATAGGGCCGTGGTAGCATAATGGTCAGTGCATTCGCCCGGATAGTGAATGATGCGGGTTCGAGTCCCGTCCGCTGCCTGGTCCGCGTGGATTTTTTTCTAGTAAACTTTTCTTTAGATTTAAACATCTAGCAGTTAAATGCTTAAAAAATAAATAAAATCATAACATTTTAATAGCTATAACAAAATAGCTCTCCCTATGTGCGCCCCGTGAGTCACGTGTTCGTGTATGTCTCTTTTACACCGTGACACTCTTTCTCTTTTGTATATATGTATAACTGAGCGCGCCGCTTGGACGTTTTTTCGATGCATTTTTGTTAGGCGATTGGTAGTGTTCTTGTTTTTATTTCAATGATTTAATATAATAAAAGAGGTCATTTATATTTGGAAGGATAAGGCATAGCGGATTTGCCCCGAATTAGATTTGAACCTCTTACAGAAGACTAGGTGAAATACTATATTTCGATTATGTTGTATTTCTGTTGATCTTTAAGGTCCACTTGCAGCAATTTTGCTAAATCTCAATTTAGCCCATACAATAATGTCAAATTGACATTGACTTTTTGATATTTTTCAATGGGTTAAATTTAGTTTTAGTTGAATCGAGACCTATTACTCAACAACACTCTATAGCGTACAGGGTTCAAGACGGCAACAAGAAGAAAATTTCAAAAAGATTAGACTTTACTTGAAGCATGTATACGTAGCATGAACCACAATTTTCATTTTATCCCGCCTAACTGTCAAACTCCATAGTAATAGATACAATTGAGCTGATAAAAACGAGCTGTATATCATATCGCGGTGCTCATGCTGCCCTCCTAGCATGAGCACCGCGATATGATAAAGAACTTGCTTTTATCACGCTCAATTGTATATTTTCGCTATGAAGTTCGACAGTTGGACGCGATATAAAACGTGATATAAAGTAAAATGAAGTGCTCATGCTACGGGGACTGGGGAAGCTGAACATTATGTAAAAAAAAACTGAAATGTTATTTCCATAGAGCTTCACGTACCTCCATAATACACACACTATACTTACCTCCATGATAGCTCTGTAGCCGTGTTGTTCCAGGAAGACGCAAACATCTAAATGCACATGAGGTAGATTCTTCCGCAGCCAATTCATAGCCTCCTTTGGGTCTTGTTTACGGAATAACTCCGCCTTGCCTGATTCTTCGATCTCCTGTGTTAATTTAGCCAGACCTAGAGGTACTTCAGCCGATAAAACATCACCAGAACTAAGCATTGCACAGATTTCGTTGCAGTGCTCCGGAGTAAATTCTGTAAAAATGAACGGTGTTATATCTCTACTCCTAAGGCCTAAGCACGAATTTTTGACAGCTCCGCAAAGTATCGTCATCGTCAAATTTTGTATGGATAAAGCTAGTTTGTTCTTACTTCCGATAGCTGCTTATTTTTCACAGAAACTGGCGATGCGACACGTAACTGAGCTGTCAAAAATTCGTGCTTGGATCTCTGCACAGGCCTTGCTTTCATATACTATAAGGATGATTTTTCTTTTTCATTTACAATTTAAGCAAAGACTAAGAATTTTTGATTGAGTACAAAGCGCTAATTTTTAATTATTTGTGACAGTCATTGGGTTCAGTTAGTAACATACAATGGACTGAGCTTTCTTCAGCTGTAAGATAAATTCAAACGTCAACTTCTCTACTGTCCGCTCGATCGTTTCGTCTCTTTCACAATTTGCTGCTCATTGGCCTCACGACATCGCATCCTCTCTTTGGGGCCGTTAAAGTATTACGTAAGCAGATTTATTACAATTATTTACCCCCTCCTCCCCCTCCCATGCTTACGTAAACCTTGGTACCTATATGCATTTTCCCTTTAATGTATTTTGTTTCTTTATTGATTCATGAGCTTTCATGAGCATCATGAACTGCTGTACTTAAATAGGCTTCGGATAGAGGACTTTAACGCACATTATATTCATTTAAGCAAACTTTATTGACACAGTATTCGACATAGAGTAAGATACAAATATTACAATCTTATCAAACGAACAAAACAAGGCTCTTTCAAATTTTTGGTAAACATATTAATTCCAATTAACAGTCTTCAGTCATGACACCCGAATCCATGATGCTGACGTAATCACTATCTCGACCCCCCCCCCCCCATGTCATCAAAAATAAGCAAAGCAAAGACCCGCCTGTCCCCCCTCCTCTCCCATAGTGCTTACGTAATACTTGAACGGCCCTTTCTAGAGTGATAAACTTCATGCAAGTAGTGCTCAGTCCAATTTCTATATCTATGAGTTCAATCTTGAGACCAAAGGATTATGTATCGATCGTTTCAAATGATACAACACAGCATGAGTAATAGGAACGTTAATAGATCGCGCTTCTCCTTGTTCAAAAAGTGTTTTATTAAAATATGGGTGTGCATAATAACGTAAGAAATAAATACTTATATGTGAAAATGTATAATACCAGTGTTGTCCTCTAGAAGCACAGCCATAGCTATAATCTGACTAGAGGTACTGGCAGAGCTAACAATACTATGGTTGTTCGCAAGACGCCCCATCATTTGTTTCCACTGCATTATGCCGTCTACGATCTCGAGCGGATCTTCCGTCTCTGTCTCCACTTGTATTTCCTTCACTCTTTTTATCGTGTCGTTCATGCACCATTTCGATGACAATATAGTCTGAAATCAGCTTCATTTTAGTAAGATTTGTTAAGTAATATAACAGCTTAAGTGACATTGGTTCGGTTTTACTATATTCACGCAACAAATTAGAAATTATATGGAAGCATTACTCTCTAGAAAAGGCCGCCTAAACATAGTTAGAAACTCATACATGTAATCTTCAATACAAACGCGACACGCACACAGACAAAACAAAATAATTTGACAAATCAAATATCTGCAAATGAATACGGCTATCAATTCAATTTGCCGTCCCGTAGAAATGGTGGCATTAGTACAAATAGATTGTTGTCTCACAGATTTCCTATGAGTTAACTTCATTCTCAAAACAATCGTTCGAAAATAAAACGTGGCCTAGGGTCTCACGCCCTCCCCCGTAAATCGATTACTGACGTGATACTATGTAGAAGAAGAAGAGGTGTAGAATAGAAATAAAGCGATATTTCTGCTGGTATTTATTTGTGATGATGATGCTAGCAAGCTAAGTTTCACTTATTTTTGGTTCTTTGTTTTTCTATATATTTATTTATTATCCGCGTGTGAGTGACGTGTGTTTATACGGCTTTTTTTAGAGCCACCTTTTTCATACTCGACATGCACTGTTCACATAATGCCAGTGATGTCATGTATGGTGAAGGTGGTGAACACCAACAACAGTACAGAAAGCATGTTCTGTCGCATGAAAAAACTGCATACAACGCAACGCAAGCACCATACCTAACATTTCGTTGGTAGTTTTGTGAAAGGTGTACTAACACACTATTATAAGGTATGCAATTTATTGCATGTTTTTTACAAGTTAAGAAATGAGATTTTGCTTATTCACGCGTTAGTCGTTTTTCTTTTGGTCCAGCTTTACGTTTCTTTTTTTTCTCACCCCACGCCACTGTAGCCTACGGCGCATCTTTATATTTCATTATATTAAATTTATATTTCTTGCATTGATTGCAAAGACATTTTTTACTTCTTTTTTATAAATCAAAATAAAGATCAGTAACATCATGGCCTTTTGACTCTAGGGTAACTACGCCGTTGACGCGGTGAAGTCCCTCAACAGGGATCTCGCGGTTCCGCACTTAACAGCGTAGAGTCTACGTAGAGGGTATTCGCAGGGTTTTTTAGCGGATAGTCGGCCGTAGGCTGTCATAAGCCGCGCGGAGTGCTTAACGGCTTCTCTGTTTCGCACCCGTGAGACTTGCGAGAGGCTAGGCGTGAGGTCCGTTCGTTGGTGTGCCCCTTATAGGCGCCAACGTCTTTAAAGAAGTTTTGCCTACGTAATAAAAAAAAGGGTTACGACGCCGCTGGTTACCTACCAACACCAATTTTCAAACAATTCAGTATCATAGATTTAGCAGTTACACATAATTCATTGAATATATTTTACCTTGAGAAGGAAAGAGATCAAGGTAAGTTTACTATTCCATTTAGGCGGGCGACGTCGCACTGCGATCCGAATGATCTCTTCGTCCGCAACCTTGTGTCCGTGGATAGCCATTTCAGACATACGAACTCTTATATCCAATTTCAATGGAGCCCTGTAGTACACCAACTACGGAGCAATGGGTTATTTGTTATTAAAACCAAATTTCGCAAACGTTTTTCTATATACCTATAGGTATATATTTTTTAAACTTTTAACTATATATACAGTGGTGGTCACATAATTAAAAACACCCTAACTAACCACAAAAAACTTACTTTATAAAAACTTACATTAGCGAAAATTGGTATTTAATCTAGTGTTATTGTTATTAAACCATACATGACGTTGTATTCTTACAATGTGGGATAAAAAATAGTTGTGTTCATTAGTAGTTTAGACACTGCTCACTACGGGAACATAACACAAACTTTTTAACGTATTTATAGCTGGCCAGCTAATTAAAGACACTCGATTTGCTTAGAAGAAATAAAAAAAAATTATTGAAATTATCTTTATTATACAATATTCCTTACACATTTATAAAACTTTCCGGTACGTATCAATATTTGGTCGCATGTCCTTTGGCAGAAATGACAGCACGACATCTCCTAGGCATGGAAGCGATCAATTTTTAACAAGCTTCCACCGGAATTTGCTTCCAAGCTTCTCTAAAAGCTGTGTAAAGTTGATCGATGTTTGATGTCCGTTTTGTCGCCACTGTCTTCTTCACCTGGTACCACAAATTTTCTATTGGGTTTAAATCAGCACTGTACGGGGGCCAATCTAAAACTGTCACAGACTGGTTCCTTAAAAAGTCTTTTAATACTTTTGCAGTGTGTTTCGGATCATTATCCTGCTGGAAAGTCCAAAGGACCGGTACATTTTGCTCGGCATAGGGCAGCATGGCTTGTTCTAAAATATTCTTGTACTGAAATTTATCCATGTTGCCTTCTAATTTCCTGACAGGTCCAACACCAAGACCTGAAAAACAGTCCCTAACTTTGATATTTCCGCCCCCATATTTACCTACTTTCTTGGTATACTTTCGATCCATTTCTTTGTTCGGGGAGCGTCTAACATATTGTTTACCGTCAGAATTAATCATATTAATTTTTGTTTCATCAATAAAAAGCACATGGTTCCATTCTCGTTCAGTCCAGTGAACATATTTTTTTTTAGCAAATGCTAATCTTGCCTTAACATTTTGCTTTTTTAAAAGTGGCACCTTCCGAGACACTCTTCCGTACAAGTTTGCCTCACATAGTCTCCGTCTAATTGTTCTTGCACACACACCCTTCGACCCTCCTGCACCAAACAACTCCGAACGTATCAGTTCTGAGCCCTCGAACGGATCTTTTTTTGCCAACAACACCATCTTAGTCTTCCCGCAGAGTAGTTTTTCTTGATCTCGGTTTTCTTGGTACGTTTTCGGTCGTGTTGAACTTCTTGAAATGTTTTATAGCATTCATAACCATGTCCTTAGAACAGTTCAAGTGGTTTACTATTTTTCTGTATGACCAATCTTTATTATGAAAGTTGAAAATAATCTTCCTAGTGGACGAATCGCAACTTTGGTTTTTCCCATATTGCTGGGTTTAAAACGTATTAATTTTAATTAAAAAATAGGTTTTATAAGTAATATCGACGTTTCATGAAAATACGCGACAAAACAAAGAAAAACAGTATGCTGTTTTTTCTTTATTTGTTTTAAATTCAGAACACAGCTTTACTGTCTTTAATTAGCTGGCCAGCTACAAGTACGTTAAAAATGTTTGTGTTACGTTCCCATAGTGAGCAGCGTCTAAAATACTAACGAACATAACTATTTTTGGTCCACATTGTAAGAATACAACGTCGTGTATAGTTTAATAACAATTACACTAGATTAAATACCAATTTTAGCTAATTTTAGTACCATAAGTACCTAAGTTTTTTGTGGTCAATTAGGGAGTGTCTTTAATTATGTGACCAACACTGTATATAAGGAGTTACTGGTGTCGATTCTAGCATGATTCTCTAAACCTAAACTTAAATTTGACAGCAGTATATCCTTGTCATTCTCTATACAGAATGAAAAGGAGAGACTGATGTTAAACTTAGTTTTAAGTTTAGAGAATCACGCCAGAATTGGCACCACTGTTGTCAAGTTTACAAATAGCAAACACCAATACCCAAGTGAAGTACCGGAATGAGGGGAGGATAAAATATTTTTTCTTAGCTCCGCTTTAAATTACTGACATCGTAACTCTTAATTGCCATAAATAATCTGAGTTATTACCAAATATTGACAACATTATTTTAATTAGAAATAAACCAACCCACAAGCAATAATTAGACATTTCGGAGACCTCACGCTACACAAGCGCCTCTAGCGACGGATTCAAACGCGAAAGCCTCATTAAGTACAGATGCCAATAATAAGTGCATATTTCTCATACTAATTAAATTTTATAGCCTATAAACGGTGGTGATCACTCTCTATGAAAGAAGTCGTTTATAGCGTATATTAAAAAAATAAACAATAAGAATGAAAACTTACATTGTACAAAGCGATCGTACATCTGTTGTGCGTCATGAACATAGCGTGCTCGTAGTTCCCCATATCTTTCGAAACAGTTTTGTCCATCCCTTTAACTACCGGCTCGAACACCAGATCATGAGTCAATGGAGTCATCGGTTTCGGAAATACCTGTAAGAAATATAGTTTAAACAGTGTTATTTTTTTCTAATAAACTTCTGAACCAATTTTTTCGTGTTAATATGTGTTTCTATCGCTCCCAATTCATCTACATAATAAAATTTAGATAGTGGCTTCAAGTACTGAAAGCAACGACTGTTTTTGTTCAATTGAATATCACAATTATAAGTATCCTATTCCTATAGTTCTGAGTGTGTAAGATGAACTACTTAACTACTTTCATATAACAAAGCGAAATTATCAGAAAAGAGTTTATTTTCTTGCTTTTCTAGTTGGGAGAGAATGGGCAGGAAATAAACGAGGAAAAAGAGGAGCGAGTTGGCTGAATATATCAGCTCGTAGCTACAGTACAGAACAGCGCAGCAAAGACTGATCTTAATTGGGTATGATGTGGTCACCCTAACTCTGACCCCATTATTAATAAACGCAGAATAAGCTTGGATTGATTACTCCGTGTTTTTGTCACTGTTGATTGAATGATAAATGGAGTGATATGAACAAAACAGGGCGTAACAATACTATAATAATACAATTACATATGGTTCTTTTTGTTATAAAGTGAAATCTTGTGAAAAAACATGTAATATAAGCGGGACAAAGTGACCTCCCTCCCTATTCCATCCATAGGGAAGACCTGTGCCCCAGCAGTGGGGACATTAATAGGCTGATGATGATGAAACTGACCTCGCCGCAATTGGCGAAGGTGGTGAACTCGTCGGCGGCCACGATGGGCAGCAACTCCTCGCTGCTCCAACGCTGTAGCGACGTGATCAGACGCGCTTGGAGAAGATATATTTCGTTCTGAGAGGAATAATACGACCAGTTTTACTTCCTACTGACCTCGCCGCAGTTGGCGAAGGTGGTGAGCTCGTCGTCGGCCATGATGGGCGTGTCCAACTCGTGCAGCAACTCCTCGCTACTCCACCGCTACAGCGACGTGATCGGGCGCACTTGGAGAAGAGATATCTCTAGTTTATCACGGGTTAATGCACGAAACTTTATTTATTTATTGACGATTAACCCGTGAAAAACTAGTTTTATTTAATGAGTGATGTGCGTGAAAACTTAAGAAATAAATAAAAAAAAGAGATATCTCGTTCTAAATGGAATAATACAACGAGTTTACTTCCTACCGACCTCGCCGCAGTTGGCGAAAGTGGTGAGCTCGTCGTCGGCCATGATGGGCGTGTCCAACTCGTGCAACAACTCCTCGCTGCTCCACCGCTCCAGGGACGTGATCGGACGCGCTTGGAGCAGATATATCTCATTCTAAAAGGAATAACACAACAAGGTTACTTACAAAATAAATCAATCAAAGCACTTAAAGAACAGCTTTCAGTGGAAGAATAGAAGAATTTATTCCGCCAGAGACCACAGGTGTCGAAAAAGCCTACAAAAAGAACTTGTGCTGCTTTCCAAACCCACGCTCCAGGTGCAACAAATAACAAATTTGACTCAAGTATCATACATTTTGTGTCAAAATTTAAATGTAAGGGTAGAGTTGCACTCAGAGCGTAGGTTTAGAACGTAGCCTCAAGGCTAAGTTGTTTGTCATGGGCTAAACGGTCATGGCGCCATTTGTAATGAGCTTTGAGTTTTCTTCCCCATTGTTATCTTGGCATACTTGAATTTGTCGTTCGGCATAAACCTAATCAATCATTCATAATAAAATAATTTACTTGTTAATAAACTTAGGGATGTTTTGGCTGGGCTCATTAAATCAAGTTAAAATTTATTAATAATTTTGACATTTCGTGGTAGTCTACCACGTTGTCTATTCAAACAAAAAGGAGTACACAATTCAAACTTTTTGGCGGTTGTGGAGTTATCAACGAACGCAACTGTACGCCAACATCACCTTTAATTTTGTTTACTTCTCCGCGTCTGGCGCTACCTTAGAGCCGCCATTTTGTTTCAATCGCACTATATTTATGGAATTTTTACTAGGGTCGCACAGCAGCTCATAATACTAAAGAAAGCAACGATGCCAAACAGGGATTTACTCCAACGTCGTGGGGACCTATTGGATTGTGAAGACTAGATACTACAAAGAAAAAAATGGAGGGTTTTTTTTATCAACAATGGGCTAAGGTGAGAGTACTTCGCAAGGTGCAAGGATACCCCCTTATGTTATTCTGCGCTTAAGTTAATCCCAAAATCCCTGCTTGGTGTCTATAATCCCCTACTAAATAAGGTTACCTTGCGTATGGCACACTCGATGTCTCGAGGCACGGCCCACAGCAGCTCCTGGGCGAGTGCAATACGCGTGAGGTGCATTGCCTCCGTCTCGCTCACGTACGCTACCCGTCTCTAGTATAGAGGTATAAGAATAGAGTGGGGAAGGCAGCTCTAAAAGTGTCCGTCTAATAGAAAGAGAAAGAAGATGAAAGACCGGTAGCTATCTCTCTCTCTCTTGTGACGCATGCACAGTCGCCTGTCCAATACAACTATTGGACAGGCGACTGCATCCAAGCATCACATCGAAATAGTAAGATGCTTACGGTTGCCAATGCGCATGCGCGATTAGAGAGAGAAAGCTAGCGGTCTCTCAACTTCTTTCTCTTTCTATTAGAGGGACATTTCCACTTGTAGTAGAGTCTATATCTCCCCTACTCTATTCTTATACCTCTATGGTCTCTCTCCCTCTGACATCACCTCCGTCCCGCTCACGTACGCCACCCGCCTCTCCCACTCCGGCACCTCCATAGTCCCCACGCCCCCTTCCACGGTAGTCACGCGAGTCAACTGCTATAGTATAGGAGGTTACCTTGCGTATGGCCCACTCGATGTCCCTGGGCGCGGCCCACAGCAGTTCTTGGGCGAGTGCGATACGCGCGAGGTGCATCGCCTCCGTCTCGCTCACGCACGCCACCCGTCTCGCTCCCTCCGGCACCTCCACAGTACCCACGCCCCCTTCCGCGGTAGTCACGCGAGTCAACTTCGACCCGACTTCTATTTTCGAAATCGCCAAACTGTCGTCTAGGCTACGCGATATTATGATCGTGTCCGGCTCCGCTGAACCGGAAACAACGCTCTGCGAGAAAAACAATTACAAATTCATCACTCGTATTATATTAGCTACAACGTATTTAACAAAATGGGTTTGATGTTTAAGGACCAGTATTTTCATTGTACTTTTTCTAGTCGTGTGGGACCTCTTTTGGATTCAACCAGTTCTTGTAAAGCCTAGTTCTTATATAGACCATTTCTACTTATGACCACTTCCTTATTTGATTACCTTTATTAAGGTGTGCAAAAAATGCAACGACAAGAAGTATACATATAACCTATAAAATAAAAACTACTCTTATAGGTACTTGTAATATAATAATTATCATGACATCAGTAGCATACAGTACTGAAAGTTGAGAAAAAAACAAATGTCGAATGCACAAACAGTCATATTACGAGGTAGTCTTAAGCAGAAGTGATCTCCAAACGTCAAACACCAGAAAACGAAATTCAGAAGAAATTCAATATAGCGTTATATTGAATTTCTAATGATCTCGACCGCTATAAGAGAAGAGGGATCTCAAGATTTACATTGCCGAATCAACGGGATTAGCCTTATTGGTCATGAAAATTATTATAGGAATACATGTTTGACAACAGCAAATCATGTATCCTCATAGGGTTGCCACTGTTCGGATGTCTCGTGAAGATAATACTAGAGGTTGCCAGGAGGCTCGAGCCGGCCCCTATAATTTTCCTGTTATATTTTCCTCTCCGAGCCCGTAGTTGGTAGTGATCTTCGGTATCCACCTTGGGTCTCCATTATTTCGATGTCTCGTGAACATAAAACAATGCCACAAGACTCGAGCCAGCCCCTATAGATGACCTGCTGTATTTACCTCCGTGTCCGTAGTTGGCGGTGATAAGTATCTTCGTTGGGTCGCCATTATTCGGATGTGTCGTGAATATAGTTGCCCTACAATATTTACCTCACCGAGCCCGTAGTTGGCGGTAACAAGTATCTTCCTTGGGTCGCCATTGTTCGGATATGATGTGAATATAGTTGCCCTACAATATTTACCTCACCTAGCCCGTATTTGACGGTGACAAGTATCTTCCTTGGGTCGCCATTGTTTGGATATGATGTGAATATAGTTGCCCTACAATATTTACCTCACCTAGCCCGTATTTGACGGTGATGAGTATCTTCGTTGGGTCGCCATTGTTCGGATGTGTCGTGAATATAGTTTCCCTATAATATTTACCTCACCGAGTCCGTAGTTTGCAGTGATAAGTATCTTCGTTAAGGTAGCCCCATTGTTCGGATGTGTCGTGAATATAGTTTCCCTACAACATTTACCTCTCCGAGGCCGTAGTTTGCTGTGATAAGTATCTTCGTTGGGTCGCCGTTATTCGGATGTCTTGTGAACATAACGCCGGCCGCTCGAGCTGAAACTAACGCTTGCACCACGATGCCTCCACCGCAAATACACGCCTGACCGTTCTGTCTATAAAATTAAAAAAACATTACAAAGTCATTGAACACGAAATGAAGGGCAAATATAATTATCTACTAGTGGCAGTCCGCGCGACGGTCTTCGTCCGCATGCACTTTAGATTTTTGAGATTCCCTTAGGAACGCAAAATTTTTTCGGGATATTAAGTATTTATCCAGGTAATAAACTATATTTGTGCCAAATTTCATCCAAATCCGTTTAGCGGTTTATGCGTGATGGAGTAACAAACAAACTCACTTTCGCATTTACAATATTAGTTAAAATAGCGGTATCTAATGAAATATCAATTAGCTTCTTATATTAAAGCGACCTCGCAATGGAACCACCGCTAATATGGACGGTTACGTAAGTTTTTGGTCGAACCACCACCATACAAGCTTTAATTTCCGGAATTTGCGGTTTACACGGAATAGTTAGCAGGTGTCGCATTTTTGTTACTGTGTAGAACTCGCAACATATGAGAAGTATACAACACCTTAGCTTATTAATAGTGAAATATTAATTAACCTATTTACTAAAATTCCACAGCCCTTAAGTTTTACGGTCACATTACGGTCTAAATATTTTATTGGTGCTAAAATAATATTTTATTGGTGCTCCCACACTGCTGTGAAAATTTTTTGATAAACATCTTCTGTCACTAATACATTTACAAACAAATATTAGAAATTGTTAGATTCTGTAAGGATTTGTTAGATGTTGAGTGCTCGTACACTGACGGAAAATGTTTACAAACAAATAATTTTGTTACAATTAGTAAACTAAAAATTAAGTTTAAAAATGTTATTAACATTACCCTGTATGAAAACGTTTTCAAACATTGAGATAAGTTGTGAACAAATGTTTGTTAAAAAGATTTTACTAGTGTTTATCAAAAGAATTTCACAGCAGCGTGGGAGCAACATATAACTGACAGAAAACGTTATTCCACTCACAACGGTATTTGCCCTTTTTTATGTCTGGGAAATGCCTTACTCATCCTTCAGCCACTGGGGGAGCGAGAAGAAGGTATGTGGGACTCCTCCCTGCCCACTTTAGCCAGCCCTTAGGCCCTTTGAAGTGAACTGGGCCCTACCTACGCCCTGAACTGGGGCACTAAAAACCAGACAATACTACTGCACCGGTCACCTGGCGCACATTCTGAGGACCGCAGTCCCCATAATGCGCGTCAGGAGTGCGGGTGATATGCGGTGCCCTGTTCGATTGACCGCGCGCACGGTTATGCGCCCTAAAAACATAAAAAACTCACATATTCTAGTATCTATTGAATACAAACCCTCAAACATACCTCCGATAATAAGCACTTGTGAAAGCAAACATGGAAGCCCAGCACTTCTGTACCGCCTTAATGACATCGTTGTCACTCACGCATCCCAATATGGTCTCATTTTGACCGGCTGCTGACAATGTCTCGCTATCTTCACCGACAGCTGCAAATTGAGTAATAAACAAATTCTGAATAACTCAAAAAAATACAAAAACGGTCGGATTCGCAGGATGGATGAACAAAAAATATATTATTTTTATACTTCTCTGTGCTGCAAAAGACACGTTGAGCCGTTGTACCCGGCTGCATCTACAGTCGTTAGAACCCACCAATCCGCACTCGGACCGCGTGGTTTACGCACACCTATAAGAAACTTTGGTCCCCAACCCTACTATAAGACGAAGAAGCCTTATTTTAAACAGGTGACAGCTTGAATATTGGTGACTCAAATATAGCTATATAGCTACTGACCTTTAAGCTTGCTTTATTCGAATGAGAGGAGAACCATTTTATTCAAATCCAAAGCGTAAAGAGGTAAATTCACCATAAGTTTTTTCTAAAATAAAATTATCGATGGAAAATGTTTTCCCTGTTTACATAATGTTGAAAAGTTGATAAAAATCAATATATTACCCGAAGATCTCACAGCAAAACATCTTTCGGGACCTAAATCTTCTCTGGCGGCTTGTTTTCTCAAATCATTCAGATTATTTAAAATTTCATCACGAAGTTCTACCGACAATTCTGTATTTAAGAAAAGTTCAACTGCCCTAGAAAGATAAATAAAATCTTGTATATTCTTAATCATAAGCAGAACTTATAATAAGAAGCATAGTATAATTTTACATACTTAGCGCATTTCCCCTTGAAATTAGCTTCATTATAATTTTCGTTAGCAGTCTCAATCTCTTTGATAGCATGCAGCAAATGTTGATTGATTTCTAAATGATGTTCTAGAGCTTTAACTGTTATACAGAACCCAGGCGGCACTCGATATCCCTGAAAATTGACATACATTACCTTATTAATTATAACCATCTATATTTATAACCCATAGATGATAGAATGCAGCATTCAATAATTTTACTATTACTTGGGTAGCAGTTGAGCACAGTTTTTGACATACAATATCATCCTTGCAAATTGACAGACACACACTACAATAATGAGTTGCCGCGTTTACGGAGCTGTTGTGTTTTGACAGCGCGGTATCTAGTCGAGCGAAGCGAGACCAATCATTTATCTATGTCTAACTCTAAATATCGTATAATGGTACAAAACTCTTCTAACGTTAACTTAACTTTTGATACTATTATTAAACCTATTTGTAATGTGTAGTGCTTGAAATAGGTTTTAATTACTAAGTTATAGATAGTAAAACAACTTACTTCTGCGTTTTGTACGGCCGCTAGCAAGGCGAGAGAAGCCCCCTTCCCCCCTACAAATTCGGGACAGGCTGCAGCCTTGCTGTCCAACTGTAAGCAATAGCCTACAGTACCGCACTCGCTCGCCTCTACCCAGCGAAGCGAAGCCGGCGGCGATAGGTGAACCGATGGCACCTTAATATCTATAGAATACACAATGTGCTCTTATATCGATACAAATGCACGAATGAATCTTATACGAATTCAGATGAAGTTGAAACTCGCTTGAAGACATTTATAATTGCTGGCTGCGTAGCCTTGCTGCCCAACTGTAAGCAATAACCTACAGTATCGCACTCGCACGCCTCTACCCAGCGAAGCGACGCTGGCGGCGATATGTGAACCGATGGCTCCTTAATATCTATAGAATACACAATGTGCTAAGAACATCGATACAAATGCACGAATGAATCTTATAAGAATTCAGATAAAGTTGAAATTCGCTTAAAGAAATTTATAATTGATGGCTGCGTAGCCTTGCTATCTAATTATACCCAGTAACCTACCACTGTAGTGCGGTACTCCGCACTCGCTTGGCTCTACCCAGCGAAGCGACGCCGGCGGCGATAGGTGAACCGATGACTCCTTAATATCTATAGAATACACAATGTGCAAAGAACATCAATACAAATGCACAAATTAATCTTCAGATAAAATTGAAATTCGCTTGAAGAAATTTATACTTGAAGTATTTGTTTCTTAGGTTTTCACGCACATCACTCATTAAATAAAACTAGTTTTTACGGGTTAATGCAAATAAAGTTTCGTGCATTAACCCGTAAAAACTAGTTTTATTTATACTTGAAGGCTGCGTAGCCTTGCTGTCTAACTATACGCAGTAGTCTACAGTGCCGCACTCGCTCGCCTCTACCCAGCGAAGCGACGCCGGCGGCGATAGGTGAACCGATGGCTACTTTTTATCTATAGAATACAAAATGTGCTAAGAACATCGATAGAAATAAACGAATGAATTGTAAACGAATTCAGATAAAGTTGAAATACGCTTGAAGAAATTTATAATTGATAGCTGCGTAGCCTTGCTGTCTAACTATACGCAGTAGGCTACAGTACCGCACTCGCTCGCCTCTACCCAGCGAAGCGACGCCGGTGGTGATAGGTGAACCGATGGCTACTTTATATCTATAGAATATACAATGTGCTAAGAACATCGATACAAATACACGAATGAAATTTAAACGAATTCAGATAAAGTTAAAATTCGCTTGAAAAAATTTATAATTGATGGCTACGTAGCCTTGCTGTCAACTGTACCCGATCGGTGAACCGATGGCTCCTTTATATCTATAGATATACTCTTATTTGAGATGGAATTAATCTTAAATTTATTCGAAGCTAGCTAATAAGTGTGTAATATTCCATAAATCTTGTTGATTTATGGAATATTTCTAGTTTCACGCTTATATCATACTAATTACGATATATTTACCTATATAATATTTATGTTAATGCCACAAATAACACGGAGGAGCTCCCTTCCGACTAACAAATACCGGACAGTCTGCAGCCTAGCTATAGCTATACACACACCCTGTAGATATCATCTAATAACCAAGCTTAGAATTATTTTACATGGATACAAAATGTACCTTCAGTCAGCAACATATTGAGTTGCCAAAAAATATACCAAAAACGGGGCACTTCATTTCACGTCCTGTCTTAGTAAATAGTAGATGTGCTTACTTCACCATAATATAGTCTTAGACGCAGAATACTCACTTGTAGGTAAATAGCCCAGTTCTAATACTCCGTAACCGGGCTCACCGTCGATTTCTACAGAGACCACGCGGTAAAATGTCTCCTGTTGGTAAGGAACCCCACTCTGCAATTGACCCCCGTCGCTTATGGGACGTATCACCACCCGCAGTTCACGATTAGGACCTGACGTCATAAATTAGTAGTGTAGAGCCAATTTAATAGGTCACATTTAGCATATTTATAATGATGACAAAATAAAGACATATAACAAACAACCATTCAATAGTTTAGGAACGCACATTATTTATGCAACTGTTGTATTCAAACACGAATGTGGACATTCGCATGCAAGCCTTTTTCTTCACTCCTAATTTGAATCCTCTATCATCCTCATCCTATAAAATATTCAGCAATCATGGGGGCGTTCTAAAAACTTAAAATTCATAAAAAGCTTCGGTGCTGTGGTAGTAAAAAGCGTGTGAGTGAAAATGTTCTTTTTTTGATATTCATAATAACACGCATCCAGCAGTGAAAATTGTGGCTATCTAATGAGTAAGAGTTGATTTTTAAAGCGAAGGAGTGTTATTATGGAATTTAGTACAACATTATAACACCTGTTTGGGTGTTATGTTTCTGTTTTTTTAGTTATGACATTGGATGTGTTAATGTTGGCAATAAGCTGTTTCAGAATCTTTAATAGAGGTTTGAAAGCATGGGTGTAGATAAAGTATATGATTTATATCGATACACAAATCACTTACTGTTTACGTTCAGCGTATAGACACTAGGTATCGAACCAGGGTGCTCACAAAAATCCGGCAAGTGTAGACTGGTGCCGGTAATGCTCTTCACAGCTGTGTTCGGGTAGCGGACCGTGCCATAAGTACACCTGAAAATAGCCCTTATTAGATAATCCATGAGAGGAGCTCGATGGCGCAAGTATTTAGCGCGTTCGGCTTCGGTCGTTAAAATTAAGCAACTTTCGCAGTGGTCTTACATGGGTGACTAACAATTTAATATCTCGAGTTCCTCCGTGCTTCGGAAGGCAAGTAAAGCTGTTGGTCCTGGCTGCATCTGCATTCGTAAGGACCCACCAATCCACACTGGGTCCGCGTGGTCGTATCGTATCGTCGATCGATCGTAATTTTTTAAAGTTGGAATCCTAATTTCCATTAGCTGTCCAGGAACCAGAATCACATTTCCCACCTTTTAAAGTTGCAAAACAAGCTTTAATTTACATTACTGTCTATATATTATACTTTGTTATTTAAAAAAAACGATAACGTGATTTATTTAGATATAACGAAACCTATTTTGTGCGAGTGCCGTTTACCCTATTTTACTGTGACCGGTTAAGGAAATATGAATAGTATTATTGATATTTCTCATTACCTACACTATCACACTAAATAACCAAGTTAGTAATTTCAATTCGCATAGTTTACGATTTCTCTAATTTCCGTTCACTTGTTTAAAATTATTCTTTTATGCCTGAAATTTTTGTCTGTGAAACGATGATTATGTACAAATGAAACGTAAATTTATTCTTAAAGCATTATTCAATATTCTTAACCTTTATGATTCAATATTGTTAATATTTTTACCAACTAATTTAGTACATACAAAATAACACAGATAAGAAGAACAGGAACAAGAAATTTCTTCCAGCAGGCCCGCGAATTTATCGCGAATTAATATTGCGAATTATTATTTTTTATAATTAAAAATTAATCTGTCCTCATGTCCGGTCGAGGCATGCTAAAAAGAAGAAAAATCTTAAAGGCCTAATAACTATTCTTTGTTACTATTTTATTCTATTGCAACATACTAGTGAATGAATTGATTATCGCCGACTAATGTAATGACCAAATGAAAAAAATGTTGTGATCATAAATATAAATAAATAAATAAATATTTCTAACACTCACACCAATTAGCCTAGCCCCAAAGTAAGCAGTGTAAGGCTTGGTAACGGATAGAATACATAATTATACTGTTAACTTAAATAAGTATATTTATATACAAATACATATTAAACATCCATGACTGGAGTACAAATGCTCGTATTCATCACACAAACATCTGCCCCCACCGGGATTCGAACCCGGGACCTCTCGAGTCGGCGACACCATGAAACCTGGCGTACAAACCACTCGACCACGGAGGTCGTCATAGTACCGAGGATATATTTTTTGTTATTTCGCACAACTTGTTACTTTTTATTTTGGCCATTTACATTTAAACAATGATTTGTACGTTGATTATTTCTGTGTGTCTTATTAAAACATGAGCAATTCTTTAAATTTCGTAACTGCGAATCTAATTTTCGTCACGTCGAAATGTATATCTCCTTGGATTCATGCTAAAACTAAATAGTTAAAAGAAGTGCCAAATGGACAAATTATAAAGTTTAACGTGTTTTTCAAGTTTCAATAAATTTAGTTTCAAATAATTTAATGAAAATTAAAAATTGTGAAGAAAGTTATACGAAGAACACCTAGGCGTGAGAATGACCGATAAGAGAGAGATTTTCCTTTTGAGATACGGAACCCTTAAAACCACAACAGTTGCCAGAAATACGTTTTACGTCAATGTCTGCTAGTTACACCTCATGTAGTTTTGCACAAATTTGAAACAAAATAAAATTATTGACGTGTTAATAGTTTGTGTGATGACATGTCAAATAAACCTAGTTTAGAAATTAGTAGTGCTAGTAGAGGGCGCGTAGGAATATATTCACTATAAGCTCCGGCTCCTTTGAGATTTCTCTGATATAGAGCTACCCTACCTTCGTCAATTATAACCAAATAAATATTAATCTTACTGTGTCAAAACCTGCTTGTAGGATTGTGCGTGTATGTGGACAGCGGTGCCATCTCTGGCCGCGGCAGTAAGTACCACAGAGCGCCGCAGTCCGGCCGGTAGAGGAGCCCAGCGTCGCTCGCGCAGACCCCGCGTACGAATGTACTCGCTTCGAGCCTCCACCCCTTCTTTTGGGGAGAACTGTACCCGCCCTTGGATGCCACCCCATTGTTGCCAACCACCATCCCGCCACTTCTCCCTAAAGTAGAAATGAATTATCGATAACTGTCTTTTCCAATCGATTTTTACACAGAAATAGAATATGTATATAAATCAAGATCTGTGGATTTTTAAATATTTCTATTTGATTTATACCTTTATTTGTAAACTTCGCTTGCTCGAAATCAAGGAACGCAGCAACAGGTCAAGTTACTAAAAACTGAAAGCTTTCTCCAACTGAGTTAGATCTTTATGTCTTTTCCATAAGTTTAAGAAAAATATTGAGAATATTTGTCAGGTTATGGCTGTAGATGTCTGTACTAATCGTTATTGTCATTATTGTTCAATAACTATAATTAGTCTCTGGGTAAGAAAGCATATACATAGCTTTATTTTTTACCGTTAATAGGTTGCTTATTTTCTATAAATATTGTGTGTACGAACCACTAATTAGGACTAAATCCGTTTGTTGTTGGTCATACACATATTAGTCATACTTTGTGTCAAAAATTTCGATCGATAACGAGGTATAAATTTTAATCAGTTAAAGGTTAACTGAGTCCTCGCCTGCGGGGTAAAGGGCGAAAGAAGGCGAAAATGGGGGTTGGGCGGCCATTCTGAGACTGGTGTTGCGACCACACCCTCATAGTGCGTGTCGGGTGACGGTGCAGGAGTATTGTCTGGTTTTTAGTGGCCCTGTTCAGGGCGTAGGTAGGGCCCTGTTCACTTCAGCGAGCTCCAGGGCTGGCTGAAGGGAACAGGGAGGAGTCCACACATACCTTCTTCTCGCTCCCCCAGTGGCTGAAGGATGCGTAAGGCATTTCCCATACACAAAAAAAAACGAGCGAGGCTTACAGTAGCCGCGTATGATGCGTAACATTTGAAACCTCACCTTACCATATTAGTAAAAAAAACAAATCAAATAGCGCGTGCTTTCGCGACTTCCTGTTACACACTTCCGTTCCATTTCACGAAATGATCAAAAAATCAAAAAAATCACTCCGACAAATTTCAGGAAAGCGAGAGGAAAAATGTTACAAAATTACAAGTGCTCGCCGCCCGCACCTCTCACGGCTCCCGTTCTCGTCCTCCCCCACACCCTGTACCCCTCAGACGTGGTCTCAGTTATGCGGTTTACCTATAGTCACAGGATATTCTAGACTTAAAGTGGCAATAATAGTGTGATCTTTTTATAAAATACATAATGAGTAAGACAATTTTATCAGTACCTACTTTATATGTGCCTAAAGCCAGGGCCGGACAGATGGGGCTGTAACCCAAGGATAAACCCCATATTATAAAAGAGATTTCAACGGGTCTCCATACTAGAGGGAATGCAAATAAGTGAACTTGGCTGCCATATTTCAAATTACACACTCGTTAAGTGCCCCGGTCCTTCGTTGCCCCAGAGCATCCATACCTCTAAATCCGGCCCTGCCTATAGTGAAATTCCAGTTATAAAATAACAAGTAGATAATTATCTTACAGTATATCTGTCCAATTGCCATTTCTCCACGGCTCTATAGCAAGAGCTTCAGCCGCCAGCTGATCGCTCCAGTCATCAGGGTACTGCATCACGTCTGACGCCGATGCCCAACTAAAACAAAATTCATATTTTAATAATGTAATTTGTGTACGAGCTTCCTAATTCTATGTTTCATCGCTGCCAGAATCAAACCTACACTTTTAAATTTCGTAAAATAAATAAATGTGTTCTGTTCGTATTTGAGGAGTTCCGTTGTTTATCTCCGAAATTATTTATCAGATCTTCACCAAATGAATATCGGACTATGACGCTAACAAATTCTTCCAAACAAAAAAAGAATCATCAAAATCGGTCCACAAACCTCGGAGTTATGCAGCAACAACAATAAAAAAAACAAATATAATGCCAATTAAGAAACTTCTTTCTTTTGGAAGTCGGCTAAAAACCAACAATAACAAAACATACACTTATAAAGAGCACATACATGAGATTCATCTGGGCGTGTTGTGTGACCCCGTCATCCCGTGTTAGCAGACCGTTGTAAAGTATCCTCAAGCTGTTCCCAGCTTCTAACACTTGTATCTTCAGCCCCCCGGCACTCCAGCCGTCTGGAATATTGGTCCATGCACACACGACAGTGTCTGGATGACCTGAGATGAGAAATATGCTATCTGTGTAATGATAACCAGTGGCGGCTCAGGGGAGTAGCCAGAGTTGTATTTAAGAAGGGCAGCGGTAATTACAGGTAGGGTAAAATCAGGGGCGATGGACGTGCCACCCTTCGCAACCTGCCGCCCGTTATTAGATAGAGCAATGGTATTTCAAGGTAGTGTACTGCTTTCCCCACCCGGGACATGGCGTAAAGATAGAAAGATACAGTGCGACCAAGACCTTGTGACGTGCACCGTGACCTCAGCCAGAGGTTGGTGCCTGCACAGCTTGCGTATCTCTAGCAGCAACATGGCGCCCTCCTGTCAATGTCATCTAAGGGCGCTTTCAATTTATGCGTTTCTTGACGGCCTGCTGCGGTGCCGAAGCGGTGCGTTTGTCGTACTGCGACAACAGTCCTGTTGTCGAGCGTTCGCGGTACCGGCGCCGCACTGTTGCCGCACCGCGCGTTTTGTATGAAAAAAAAGGATCGTCCGTACGCTGTACGACAAACGCACCGCTTCGGCACCGCAGCAGGCCGTCAAGAAACGCATAAATTGAAAGAGCCCTAAGCGCCACTAGATCTTAGTTGCACTCCACAGAATAACATAACACAGCTAATGATACTGGGTCACATATATATTTATTTATTTTTTAGTTTCCTGTTCATTTTTACACTTAAGCACTATTTATCTAATTATAAATCTATTCGTATTCTTTATTACTAACTTACTAACACCGTGCACCATATAGGCCCTGTTAGAATACCAGCGTTGTCGTGACACGTTTAGTTACATGTCACGGCAGCATTATACTGAGGCAGGGTCCTGATTGACCAATATAATATGTGATCAAACAAACTTACCTTAAGTGTAGTTCGATCATTATTATATGAAGTGCTTCGTTCGAAGATATATACTTTACCATGTAGTCTCTTTATTCACTAGGCAACCAAACGCAAAATTTTTAGAGCTAGATCTCTGAAAAAAAAGTAAAAAATATCACTATCTGTGCTCGCTCTAAGTTTATGGATCCTTTATGTCACCTGTCATTTCTTTTAGAGTAGGTACTGTATCACAAAATCCTGGGGAAAAGAATGAAAGCTGTAGGTATTGTTTCATACTTGGGTTGGGTGGGTATATATCTTCGAACGAAGCACTTCATATAATAATGATCGAACTACACTTAAGGTAAGTTTGTTTGATCACATATTATATTTCAGTGCTTCGTTCTCGATATATACTTTACCATGTAGATGTTTAGAGTACCAGGGATTTTGTGAACCTCCTTCCAGTGTCTGTTAATTGTATGCTGAAATTAAACAGAGTTGATATCATTAATCAGTCTTTATTAATATCCTTGTTTCTATTCATTAACAGAATAATATTTTGTAATAAATTAACCAAAACACAATCAACATTTTTCTTAACAAAAAATAATACTTTGTAATAAACCAACACAAAACATAATCAACAGTTTTTCTTAATCAATATTCCCAAAATAATCTTAAGTGACCATGTAACATTATTTTTATTAAGTAAGAATAATTTCAAATTTTTATCGTAATGACAAAATGGAATTTGCAAAATTCTGAGAATCATTAACAATAGGTCTATTATAAAACCTAGCGAAAGTTTGAGATGTTTCTGACCAACCAGCAGTGCTTCTGATAGTCTCTATTGAAACGCCCTTCATATGAGCCATGGATGTTGATGCATGGCGAGTTGAATGACTCGTAAAGATAGATGTATCAATACCTGATTCGGACAATGTATTTTTAATCCATCGACTTATAGTTGATGGTGTTGCTGCTTTGTAAGGTCTTTTAGTTGTTAGGAATAAGTTCTCTTCATTACCTCTGATATCTTTAGTATAGTCAATGTAATATTGTAAAGTTGATGCGGGACAGATCTCTGGTTCGCAGTAGAAAGGTAAAATTAATATTGGCTGTGAACGATCGGGAGCAGATGTCTTTATTAAATCAGTAATATTTATATGATAACCTGATTCCCTATTTATTATGTTTTTAATTTTTATTAAGGATAGAGTTTGTACTCTTTGTGCTGTGCATAAAGCTAGCAGGGTTACTAATTTTTTTGTTAATACTTCTAAAGTTAATGCGTTACAGGGGTACCATAACCTAAGAGTATTTAATACAATGGATGGATTCCAAGAAATGGAATATTTTGGTCTTGGGGGTCTTGTTTTATAAAAGCCTTTAAGTAATCTCTTAATCCGTTCATCATTCCCTATACGAGAGCCTATTAACATAGAAAGAGCAGATTTATGGCAATTCAGAGTTCCATAAGAAGCTCCCTTACTATATTGTATGGACAAAAATTGCATTACTTTGGGGACAGAAGCACACAGCAGATCAATTTGATTTTCATGACAAAAAACCCACCAAATTTTAAATGTTACGTCGTATTGTCTTAACGTATTGTTTGATATTGAAGCAAGCATTGTATTTAATGATATTGTGGGGATGGCTTGTCTTATCATTGCTTGCCTGAGAAGACTCCTGCCGCCAGGATAAGTTGATGGTGTAAGGGATGGTTGTTCCTGTAAGGAGAAAATAGAAGATCTTTATCTGGACCAAAAATTAACAGCTCTGATATAAGCATTTCCTGCATGATAGGGAACCATGGCTGCGAGGGCCAGTATGGTATGATCATGATTCCCGTAGCTTGCTCATGTTTTATTTTTTGTAAGCATTTCAAAACTAAGCTAAAAGGTGGAAAAGCATAAAAAAAATAGTTACACCATCTAACAGTAAATGCATCAATATTGGATGCATCTGGATCTGGTTTCCATGATATGTACACAGGGCACTTAGTGTTGATACGAGATGCAAAAAGATCTATCTCTGGTACACCAAATTTGTATGTTATATCTAAAAAAACTTTATCATTTATTTCCCACTCTGTATCTATATTGATTTTTCGTGATTCTTTATCAGAGTCTAGGTTTTCAGTAGATTTAATATAGGATGCAAAGAGTACGATCTTCCTTTTTTCGCACCATTCCCAAATGATTCTGGCAAGATTACTGAGATGTGGTAGTTGAATTCCTCCCATCCGGTTAATATAAGAAATTGCAGTTTTATTATCTACTCGCAATAAAATATTTAGTTCTTCTTTATCCTTAACAAATGTTTTTAACGCTAAGAAGATGGCTAACAACTCTAAGTAATTTATATGAAATTTAAGTTCATTTTCTTTCCATGCCCCATTAACGTGATTGTTATTAGAGACAGCACCCCAACCTGTGCGCGATGCATCAGTATAAATTTCAAGATCAAAGTTACGGGCTTGTATTGATTTTTTAACTGTTAATATATTTTGTGACCACCAAGTAAGATCTATTTTAATGTTCGGATGTAAGTTCATAGTATCTTCATAATTATTATCACATTTAAGTAAAGAAAGATATTTTTGTCTTTCTAAGTGTTTAGTGTGTACCCAGCCATACTGTACAGCAGGGCAGGATGACACCAACATGCCATTTAACTGGGCTAGATCCCGTATTGAACATTGTCTTATTTTAAGAAACTTATCTACCATCTTTTTAATATGGTGTCTTTTTTCTTCTGGTAATTCTATTGTCATGTTGTTAGTATTAAAACTAAATCCAAGAAATTTACAACATCTAGAAGGTTCTAAAGAACTTTTGTCATAATTAATTACAAATCCTAAACATTCTAATGTAGAAATAGTTTGTCTAACATTATCAAGGCATGACTGATAACCTGATCCAAGACAGAGTAAGTCGTCTATGTATACAACATTTTTGTAACCTTTCTCTCTTAAGTATGTGACAACCACTCTCATAATTTTAGTAAAAATATAAGGGGCTGAGGAGAGGCCATAAGGAAGTGAATTAAATTCATACAAATTGCCATTAAATTCAAAGCGAAGGTATTTTCTATAATCAGGGTTAATTGATAAAACTAGATAAGATTCCTTTAGATCAATTTTAGCTAAGAAACAGTTTTGGGTTATCATTGCTGCAGCTGTTCTATGGTCTTCCATTTTAAAATGAGATGGAGACACAAACTTATTCAAGGATTTTAAATTTAAAATGAATCTCTTTTTTCCATTAGGTTTTGGGATAAGAAAAATTGAGGATATGTATTGATTATCAGATGGTTTGCATATAGTAATAGCCTGTAATTTAATAAGCTTTGCGATAGCAGCTTTCATGTCATATTTCTCTATACTTGTATTAAATTGGTACGGTTTTGGTGCATTAATTTGCACTGGTGCAGATATAAAGGGTATAGAATAACCCCTGATATGTTGTAATATAGTGACATCAGTTGTAATTTTTTCCCAGCATTTTAAAAAATGTGTTAATCTACCACCATGACATACCTCTATTTCTGAGCAGGCTTCATTTCTGCTTTGGATTTCCTCATTTGTTGATGCTGTTTGTAGGGAGGATTTCGTTCTGTTGCTAAACGTTTCTGCCCGCCTCGGTTGTATGTCTTCGATGTTTGATAACGAGGCGGGCCCCTGAAGTTTCCCGAGTCACTGTAGCTGCTGGAGCCACTGAAGTTTCCTGATCTTCTGGGTGGTGGTGGTTTAAAATTGTCATTTTTCTTTATTGTTTGTCCACTCTTTTGTGCATTTTTCATGGCTTTTATTTTTTCTGAGAGGTTTCCGCCATATAGAAACTCATCTCTTTCTATGTCCTTAATAATTTCAAGGAATTTTTTGTCCAAAACAGGGGTGACCAATTTCCTTCTACTTACTGTTAGGCCACAGTGAAGATCGGTCAAAATTTTTGATGAATCACTCAAAGTTTTTATTATTGTGAACCTATCACTTGTATTTGTCACTAAATGTGACAATGCTCTGTTTAGTGCTGTTATGCCCTGTCCAAGTTGTTGCTGTTCTGCTTCTATTTTCTTATCCCTGTTTTTTATGTTGTCAGAAATTGTAGCAACAATCTCTGGATTTAATATAGGAGCTTGTAAGGTCTGGCAGTTTTCTGGGATTAAATAATTTTTAAGAAGGGCTTCCTTGGCATCCCTGTCTAGCCCATTCTTTAAAATTGTGATGCATCTTTTTGCCAAATCCACATTAATATTAGCACCGAATTTTGGTTTTTCTTGAATTGGATCTCCTAATGCTTGTAATGTTTCATCATCTAACATTGGCTCATCAGGGTCAGGGATAGCTGATGTCTTGTTTGAATTTTCACACTGTATATTAGTGTCATTGTTTGTATTTTCTTTTTCGGAAGTAATTGTGGAACATAAAGACATTAAATCTATGTGAGACTCGGCGCGACTGTGTTCACCGCTCACATTATAATCTGAAATATATGTTTGACATATGTTAGTACTGAACTGACATAGTATTAACCTTCGCAATGCCTCACGGACATTACCCCGGTAAACATCTAGTGTGTATATCTCGTATACACCCCAAGATACCATGTGTCACGTCAGTGCATCACGTAC